ATGCCAGTTGTTTCGCATTTTGACATGCAAATCGAGCCCACACTACAGTCCTGTGCACTTTTTGTCGAAGACTTTGCCATGTCAAGCCCCGCAACCATGGAAACAGATACTCGGCGACCCCACGAGCCATATTTACCCAAGAAAAACACAAGGTTTTCACGCCGGAGAATGTTTTCACCCGTGGATTTACGCGTTCCACTGAACTGCTCTTGTACTATGTTGTTGACATGATGATGACATGATGACAAGACTGCCCCTGGACATTCGTCCGTAACTCGGAAGTTTTCGAACTAATCTTCCTTTGGCCAACCATCCCAGTGAACATTCTTTCTCTCGACCAACTTAAATAACAGTGGGGTATCCCTAGTATTTCCCCTCATTTTGGACCCCCCACCTCCGTCGCAAGTAGTGTAATGCACTTGGTGATCTTGCTCACGTCGTAGACTGACATGGCCACAAGATTCTTGGAGAGGGGCTCCACGTGCATTTCCTCCAATGCTACAGCCATCTCCTGAAAATTTTGGCTGTTTCAACCCGAAAAATATGCTCACGAAAGTCAATGGGATCATCATCCCATTTCATCCCATTTCTATGGTTGAAAAAAAGGGTTCGATCAAAATCGCCAAGCAGATTCCTTGATCTTGGCAGCCAGTTCCGGAGTCTTTGGCGTGGAACCGAGGTTGAACATCTTCAGCTCCTTCTTCCCACCTAAAGCACTGCGGTAGAATAGGGCGCTCACCGTCATGGATGCCATGACGGCAACGGCAAGGAAGATGCCACCAAGCATGGTGGTGGACACCGCATGGGCAAAGGCATACATGGCACCGCCAACCTGGTGGTGTCCACCCCTGAAAAACATGAGTGAATAGTCATTGGGGATGATCATCCGAAATATGAGTGAAAATAAGAAGTATATCTATATAAAAGTATTGACTTAAAACATTTTAAAACCACCAACCAGCAACATTTTGAAGGAACAAAGAAGAGGTGGTCACCAGCAGTACAATGCAGAAGGAGATGATGCAGTCGGTCAAGTTCAGCAAGGGCACCTTCCATGGCCACGACAACATCTGCATGACCATCATCACTGTCAAAATGACGCAAATGCAAACAACCTGGATTGGTGGGTAGTCAGTGGCCAGCACCACCGGAAGATTGATCAACGGTCCTCGAACCAACAAGGGCACTCCAAACCACCAGGAGTCGAGACGAAACCTGAAGATCAAGAAGCGCACTGAGGCGACCAAACGATTTCTCTTCCTGGCGCTCCATGTAGGGACCTGAGAGACTGCAAAGATGCAAAGTGCCATGAAGCCCAAGACAAAGACGCTCAGCAAAGTCCAGCCAACGACTAGCATGAAGGTATGTTCTGTGGAGCCACAAAGGACCCCAGGATACTTCAAAAGGCTTCTCTCACCGTTCGGGTGTTTGTAGCACATCATGGGGGCCAAAGATGTGGCGCTCATGGTACTGAATCCGACCTGCAAAAATGCTCCCATTGTGCTGCAGACTTTGGGCCCTTCCCAACGCTGCTTTTTCGGCAAGAGCCTTGACACAGCATAGGCCAGACCCAGCCACGCCACACCTACCGGGAAGATCATTGCGCCCAACAGGTAACGAATCGGCTCAAACTGGCCGGCCACGCAGCCAAACCCGAAGCTGTCAATGTCGAGGAGCAGGAACTGGCAAACGCTGAAGAGGCCTTGAAGATTTGGAGGCCACTGGACCGTCATCATGCCAATCAGCCCCATGTTCTGCATTGACATCACCAGCATGCCAAAGGATGCTGTGGTGGCAAAGAGTACGGTCGCTTTTGATGTCACCTGACCACATGCGTCCCACATCTTGAATTGAACCTCCTAAACTCTCCCCCATAATGAGTGACTTATGAACAGACTGTCGTTTGAAACCGCAGGTGTCCGCTCAAAACCAGCCTTGGATGTACTTAGATAATAGGCCAGGATCAAGAAAGCAAAGATGGAGCAAAGTGACAAAACCCAAAGGGCTTGCCGCCATCCACCACAATCTTCACAAAGACTTCCCGTCCATGTCTTACCTTCACGGCATTTTGAGCACGGGGTATCCAGAAGGCCCCCAGCGCATGAACCAGGAGTACCGCCAGGACATAGTGAAGCACTGCCGCATCGGAAGACTGATGTGGGGTTCGTCTGGGTTGAGAAGTAGCCTGGCTGAACAAGGGCGGAGTTTTATTAATTGTGCCGCTTTGCAGTCGTGGGAAGATATGCATTTTTCCCAAATGCGTAGCAAGGGTTCCCGTTTCACTCTGGGGGTTCGGGGGTTGAGGGTGCGTTCGCTCGATGTTGCGTTTGCGTCCGCAACCGTTCGCAACCGGTCGCAACCGTCCGTGCCAGGGCCGTATGGCCGTGCCTATGACGAGTTCCGCAAAAGCGGTGACCTCTGGAGGTTTCAAACGTCACGTAGCCTCGTTTCGCGTGGCAGGCGTGGCACTTTGTGACATTCGTTTTCAGAAGATGAGTGAAAATTTTTCGCAGCACTTTGGAAACCTCCATCGTCATTTCCCGTGGCAGGCGCAGCACTTCAGACGTGTCGTGTTGCGTGTTTTGCGAATCGCATTGTCAGGGCTGCGTCAAGTGGTGACAACGTGCAAATTCCGTAGCAGGCGTGGCATTTTATGAGACGTGCTGAAAATTCACGGAAGCCTCGCACGAAACATTGATTTTGAGGTCGTCGATTTTGGAGTTCATGACGAAACTCGTAGGAAAGCGTGGATTTTGTAGCTACAAATTGTCAAAAATTGACGATGTCTCGCACGAAACGCTCGGTTTGAAGTTCCAACATGTCTCGTTTCGATTCTCTAGTTTTCTTGTAGCGTCGCCGTGTCTATGGGGGAAACTGCAAAACCTCTCAGTTTCGAAGGTGTCCAAACAGGCTCAATGTCATTCTGAATGGCAGGCGCGGCACGTCGTGACATTCTCACGTGTCTGCAAATGGTGTCGAAAATCATTTTGTGTGACAGGCAGGCGCAATACTTTTGCAAGGTTTTCAGAAGATGACTTTCATGTTTCGTGGCTATTGGAGCACTTTGGACGTGTCCATGTTCATTTTGCGTGGCAGGCGCAGCACTTTAGACGTGTCGTGTTGCGTGTTTTTACTAATTGCATTGTCAGGGCTGCGTCAAGTGGTGACAACGTGCAAATCGCGTGGCAGGCGTGGGACATTGCGAGAGCCTCATTTTGCATGGCAGGCGCAGTATTTGGTGCAGATCCGTTGTGTCTGAAATGTTATGTTGCGTGGTGTGGCAGGCGCAGCATTTCGTACACTCTACACTTTACACTCCACACTTTACTCTTTACACTCCACACTGTTTACTTCACATTTTCCACTCCACACTCTACACTCCACACTCTACACTTTACACTCCACACTTTACACTTTACATTCCACACTTTACACTTTACACTTTACACTCCACACTCTACACTTCACACTCCACACTCCACACTCCACGCTCTACACTTTACACTGCGCACTCCACACTTTACACTCCACACTCGACGCTTTACATTTTGCACTCCACACTTTACACTTTACACTTCACACCTTACACTTTACACTCCACACTCCACACTTTGCACTGTACACTTTACACTCCACACTGTACACTGCACACTCTACACTCCATACTTTACACTTTACACCCCACACTTTACAGTTTACACTCCACACTCTACACTTTACCCTCCACACTTTACACTTTACATTTTACACTCCACACTCTAAAGTCTAGTAAAAAGTAAAAAGTGTGGAGTGTAAAGTGGAGTAAAAAGTGTGGAGTGTGAAGTGGAAGGTGTGAAGTGTGAAGTGACACTCTGCACTCTACACTTTGCACTTACACTCCACACTTTACACTTTACACTCCACACTTTACACTTTACCCTCCACACTTTACATTTTACACTCCACACTCCACACTTTGCACTCTATACTTTGCACTTTTACACTTACACTCCACATTCCACACTCTACACTATACACTCCGCACTTTACACTCCACACTTTACACTTTACACTCCACACTCTACACTTTACACTCCACACTCTCCACTTTACGCTTTACACTCCATAGTCGACACTTGACACTCCACACTCCACACTTTACACCGTACACTTTACATTCCACACTTTACACTTTACACTCCACATTTTTTATTTCACACTTTACACTCCACGCTCTTCACTCCACACTCTACACTTTACACTCTACATTTTATACTGTACACTGTACACTCTACACTTTACACTCCATACTCCATACTTTACACTTTACACTTTACACTTTACACTCCACACTGTTTACTTCACACTTTACACTCCACACTCTACACTCCACACTCTACACTTTACTCCACAATCCCCACTTCACACTCTACACACTACATCCCCCACTCAACACTCCACTTTCTTCACACTCCACACTTTGCATTCCACCCCCTTCCACATTCCAGAGTCTACAGTGCACTGGTACGGTAGCAGGGGAAAAATATTCATTTTTACGTGACTGCATTCGGGTTTGTGGTCTGCATCTTGTTTTTGTGTATTTGTGTGTGTGTGTCTGTGTTTCTGTGGATAGGTGTGCATACATACAACATCATATAACCATGTGTATATATATATATAACCGAACTATCACTGAAACATACGAAAACAGGCTGGAAAGAAGAGTCAGGAACCCTTCTTGATCTTCGGAGTGAACTGCTCCCCCACATCGCTTGCCCCACGTTTCAAGTCCTTGAGCTGAGATAGAGCTGGGCATGTCAGTCCTTCACCGCACTCCACACAGTCGAACTGCACTGTCTCATCTATGTCAATGTACCCTGCCGAACAACCACAATCCGTCTTTGCGACTGAACCAAAGCCTAGGGTGTTGGTCGTACTTGGGCAAGCCTTGCACACCACCTGACCAATCTCATCCTGATAAGTGCCGAAGTCACAGCGTTTGCATTGCGTGCTTCCCAGCTGATCCTGATACTCACCTTCTTGGCACGGCTTGCAGCTGAGGGAAGCACCAGAGGCTTGGCTGGTTCCCTGGTCACAGGGCATGCAAACCTTGGATTTGCTAAGGGGGCCATTCCAAAACTTTAAAATTGGCAGATTAATAAATGATATAAATTTGGGAAAATGAAAAAATCATCAGCAAAGCCAGGAATCGTGTGTGGATCCGCTCTTGTAGTTGTCTTCCAACTTCTGCGAGAAGGTACCCGGGGGACAGGCCTGGCACACGATCTTGTTGGTGGCATTCACCCGCTCATCGGTGAAGTCTTGGAGAACTGAGTCGTAGAGTCCGAAACCTGGGAAGCACTCACTCTCATCAGGGATCCATGCCTGCCAGATGGCTTGATTGGACTTGATCCATCTACAGGTGACCTCTTCCCATGCGTGGCCTGTGGTCTTCTGATCCAGCAACATGGCATCCATCTCGCTCTTGGGCAGGTCGAAGTTATCAGCAAAATTGTGAACCATCGGAGCCAAAATGATCAGGTCTTGACTGACCAAAGTGGAAATGATGGCTTGGGATGCCTCACTGGAAAACAAGCCTTGGCTGAACTCACGACTATTGTGCTCCGGATATTTCACCACCATCGGGTTCAGCTCCAGGAAAGTTGGATCTGGCGACCACCAATACAGCGGCATGTAATGGACAGTGGCAACTGTGTGTAGTCGCTCCAAGTCGCAGCGATTGCAATGGCAACGGGCATGTTGAACAAGGTGAACTTCTGCATGAACTCTTCCACTGCCCAACCAACACCTCCGGTGATCCATGGAATGCATCGAGTGTGATCAGCCCGGCAACTTGGGGGCAACCACCAAAAGCCATCATCGCATCTGGCCGAGTAGACATCCTTGGCAGCCGTAATCAAATCAAAATAACATAGAACAACTACGATCACATGTCTACAATATTTGTTTTATAATCTTGTCCCGTTCGTTCCAGTCACAAAAATATACACATATGAGCAGGATACTAATAATCAGGATGTTGGCAAATATCATTGGCAATAAGGATCACTTGAAACACATCGTATCTGATATCGTATATAATGCGTGGTAGAGTAAATATTGATCAGTTGCGAAAACGGACGAAGATTATTGTATACGCTACGAAGAGAAAGCAGCTCGGTAGTGCAAGCGATGATAATGAACATGAAATGATAGCAGCCATGATAATGGTAGAAGGTCTTCTACTACTGCAACATCAGTCAAGTATCATTGTTGATGACAACCCCATCGGCGTCGCCTGTCCACTGAACATGGCGTCGCATGGTAGGGTCACTGCTCATCACCGAATCAGACTTGCTGCAGGGTGCCAACCTGGAGGTGTTCACAGAGGAGATCGAGTCGAAAAAGTTCCAGGGCTGATTCCAAGAAGCATTCCAACTGCGGAAGAATTGCAGCGCCTTTCCCGTTGTTGAGTATGCTTGGTTCTGAATCGGCCGTGGAAGGTACATGGTGGTGAATCCAACATACCCCATGGTGCCCAAATCACTGGGTGCCATCGAGGAATAGGTCGACTGAATGTAGTCCCAATCTGAAGGGTACACTCCCATCCAAGCTTCCAAGTGGACATGGTAATAGCTCACACCATGACCGCATCCACGATCCGAGACATTGTTGGGGCTCCGGCAACCCGTCACTCCATAATATCCCGCTACACTTCCACTGCCTGGATTCTCACCTTGGAATTTGCTAAACAGGATTCCTATCGATCCCAAATGATGGAAGTTCAATGAATTTCATGATGCGAAAACTCTAATTCTGGTACATATATATATATAATGCAAATATATATGTAAATATATTATTCCTAAAACGGAGGGGCTTAAGTCATGAGGGATCTCCATTCGTCACCATGGGTTAATCTTTTTTCAACACCACCCCAATGACGCCCAGGTCGCTGTTGGAAGTGGTGTTATAACCCAAGACCTCCTGCACTAGTGTGGCCGCCAGGACATTGGCAGCAGCGGAGGCCGCCCAACTGCACTGGTAGAAGCCCACGGGATAGGTTTCACCGTTGGCGTTCATCAGGACCTGAAAAACAGGTTCTGCTTAAGGAAATCCCCCCAAAAAAAAAATAGATGCCCCATTTGTAGTGGATTTCTTGAGAAAATAAGCCAAATCATCGACAAACCGCAAATCCAGGCCTTTCGTTGTGCTGCTGGGACAGCATTCTCCAAGCACGAGGCCTCCACCCTTGGCATCATGAAGCTGAGGCACAGAAGAAACCTGAACATCAACCCGCTCATAAAATACAACGCTGGGTGTCGCTTGCGAAACTTGGCCGATCTGATCTCAAATGAGCTGAAAGCAGCATGTCACTATATCAGTCAACACTCCGCTTTGTAGCAAACTCAGTCCCTGACCAACAGGACATCAAATCCAAGGCCCAGACATTCCTCTGGATTCCACCTCCCAGGTGACTTGGGCTGAGACCCCTGGAAATTCATGGAAATTCATGGATAGTCAATCCAAAACAAAAATATGGTCTGACTTTGGAAATTTGGGAAATGTGTTGAAAATATGCAGGGATTTGGAATGTTTTCGGACTATTTGGTGACTTTGCAAACTTCGCATTCGCCCGATGAATCCCCCTGCAATTCTGACAGTTCTCAACCTGTCAACCTGCGCCGCTGCTGACCCCTGCTACATATATCTCCCCATCCAGCTATCTAATCTAATTCAATGCAATCTAGTCTCTGTCTGTCATGCCATACCAATCAAATCCTATGGAAATCCATCTATGGATCAAGTGGATTGATAACTGGATCAGCAGCCCCACTGTACGTGGATATCTGGTAGAAGCTTTCATAAGATACCAGTAGTACCGCACAAGGCGGTGGCGGAAGTTTCAAAAATAGGAAACCTATAGGAGAGGTTGGTTGTGGTGAATCAGGGATGGCAGAGTGAAGCCACTTATGGATTGAAAGGTGGTTGATCTCTCTCACTCTTTCTCTCTCTTTCTCTCTCTTTCTCTGACTACCTATCTGTCTATCTATTTATCTATTTATCTATCTATCTAGCTATCCATCTATCTATCTATCTAGCTATCTATCTGTCTATCTATCTATCTGTCTGTTTGTCTGTCTATCTGTCTACCTGTCTATCTGTCTATCTGTCTATCCATCTATCTATCTGTCTATCTGGCTACCTGTCTGTAGTGTAGTGGAGTGTACTGGAGTGTTGTGTAGTGTAATGTAGTGTACTGGAGTGTAGCGTAGTGTAATGTCCTGTAGTGTATAGTGGAGTGTAGTGTAGTGTAATGTTGTGTGGTGTAGTGAAGCGAAGCGACATCTGAACCTCCAAAAGCGGTCCGAACCCCTAGTGTTTTGAGCGTTTTCACTTCGAAATGTGCTTCGCGCCACAACGGTGTGCACTTTTTCGACATCTCAACCTCCAAAAGTGGTCCGAAGCCCTAGTGTTTTGAACATTTTGACTTCAACATGTGCTTCGCGCCACAACGGCATGCACTTTTTCGACATCTCAACCTCCAAAAGTGGTCCGAACCCCTAGTGTTTTGAACATTTTGACTTCGAAATGTGCTTCGCGCCACAACAGCGTGCACTTTTTCGACATCTCAACTGCCAAAAGTGGTCCGCACCCCTAGTGCTTTGTACATTTTGACTTGGACATGTGCTTCGCGCCACAACGGCGTGCACTTTTTCGACATCTCAACTGCCAAAAGTGGTCCGCACCTCTAGTGTTTTGTGCATTTTGGCTTGGAAATGTGCTTCGTGCCACAACGGCGTGCACTTTTTCGACATCTCAACCTCCAAAAGTGGTCCGCACCTCTAGTGTTTTGAACATTTTGACTTCAACATGTGCTTCGCGCCACAACGGCATGCACTTTTTCGACATCTCAACTGCCAAAAGTGGTCCGCACCCCTAGTGTTTTGTGCATTTTGGCTTGGAAATGTGCTTCGCGCCACAACGGCGTGCAATTTTTCATCTCTCATCTGGCCAGCTGGCTCCGCACCCGCCGCTTTAGCGAGCCTACTTTTCGACCCTCCGGAGCCACAAATCAGTGGAAAAACACAGTGTTTCGCGGCTTTCCTGCCTTTTCGCACATCAGCATCTTCTTTCTTCTGACTCTTTCTCTTCTACTCTTCTCTCTTCTAATCGTTCTCTTCTCTCTGACCCTTTCCATCTCCGCTTTTCATGTGTCCATATTGTCGGAAGCTTGACTTCTAAACTTCCTTCGACGATTTCGTTCATTGAAATCCATCTATATCGATGGAAAGCCATGTGCGGGAAAAACAAAAGTTCCCATTTTAATAAATACCTATATTTATGTAATACATATGTCTATATATATATATCTTTATACATATTTGTGCGCGTGTCAATCTAGAAATCAAATTTATCCATGTATCCATCAATCAGCACTGTAAATGTCAGCAATCTATTTTTACCTGTCGGTGTTGCTCTGCTAAATCTATCCCTGTCTTTACCTCACATCTCCAGCCTTCGGGGATCGAGTCGAGTCTTGCGAGTCGAACTATCGAAGCCGTCCCCGCTGGTGGAACCTGCACATCAAACATCAAGCAATTGCTGGTTGTAACAAAACACGGGCCTTCAGTTGATTAGCTCAAGTTTTCCAGATTTGATCTGGGTTTGGAAAAAAAATTGGCCGGGAAATGCCCAAGATGTAGCACGAACTGATCAGAACTGCGTTTGCTGGTATGAAGCTCCAGCGACGGTGTATACCCGTTTAGCTACGGAAAAAATGAAACCATGGTTTCCGCATCAAAGCCTTGGCATAAGCACATGGTCCCACCATGCATGGCATTTACCTTCTGACCCGTCACCGTCCCTTATTGGTGGTTAAATGGTTGTGGGTCAAAACCACAAAGCACCAAAATTAGGATGTGACCAACAACCTCCAGGTTACACTGTAAGTCACATCAAAACACCATTTTTGTCGGTCAAAATCCCCGTCTGATGTTTCTCTACCCAGTTTTTATCCGTCAAGGCGATGCCCAGTGCGATTTTTGTTTATGAACCCATCCAACTACATGTACATATGTATACATAGGTATGTATATATATATCTCTCTCTCTCTCTCATCTATGTATCTACTTATCTACTTATCTATCTATCTATCTATCTATCTCTATCTATCTATGTATCTATCTTTCTACCTATCTACCAAACTAACTATCTACCTATCTGCCTATCTACCTACCCATCTATCCATCCATCCAGCCATCCATCCATCCATCGATCTATCTATCTATCCATCGGTTTGTCTATCTATGTACTACGTATCCATCTATCTATCTACCTATCTATCTATCAATCTATCTATCTATCTGTCCACCAAACATTCTAGTTAAGGCAATTAAAAAAAACCATAAAACACCATAAACCGCCATGTTTGCTAGTGAAATTCCCATGCACTCCCATGCTTTTATTGTGTAACGCCAGCTTGACTGATCCACCCTTGATCTGGGCGCACCAGGAGGTCTGAGCCCGGCTCTTGCGCGAAAACCAGTCGTACCTCCATCAAAGAGAAAACTATGTTTTCGAGGAAAACAAAATAACTGACTGTAAAATACATGTGTAAATATATATATATACATATACATATATATGTATGTATGTATATTTGTATGTATATATATATATAAATATAAATACATAAATATGTAAATGTCTAAATATGTCTAAATATGTCTAGATATGTCTAGATATGTGTATGTATATATATATATATGTATATATATCAATATATGTATATATCAATATATGTATACATATATGTATAAATATGTGTATACAAATATGGATAAATACCTGTAATATATATATATATAAACACATGCATAAATATATGTGTAAATGTTTGTAAAAATATGTATATTATACATGTATATATTTATATATGTAGATAGACATTCTTGTATACAGTAAATATATACTGTAAATATATGTGTGTGTGTCTTTCACTAAACTGTACATGGAAGATGTAAATACTGCCCCCGACCCCTGCCAACAGCAAGAGGGAGCGCGTCAGAAAAGAGATTGCAAGCAGAAAGAGACGACAAACAGGTGGAGAAAAGGTAAACGGAGGAGGAGGAAGAAGAAGTAGGAAAATAAAAGAAGAATACTGAAGAAAAAAGCGAAGAAGACCAAGATGAAGAAGAAACCGAAGAAGAAAAAAAAAGAGGAACAAAATGGTGAGCATGCATGTTTGTACATTATGTACATGTGTGATCTGGCGTGATTCTAGTGGGCGCGTGTGTGTGTATATATATATACACATGTGAATACTCTAACAACCAAGAATATGTTTCCAGTCAAACTGTGAAAAACAGCAGGTTCGGACCACTTTTGGACGTTCAACCGCGCCACACTACACTACAACTACAACTGCATCAACAACAACTACAGCCACAACTACAACTGCTACAGCTACAACTACCACAAGTACACTACGCTACACCTACACAACACTACACTACATTTCGCTGCGCTACACTACACTACGCACTACGCTTATTACACCACTATTCCACCACACCACACTGCAATACAACTACAAATCCAATGCACGATACTACACCCCACTGCGCTACAACTAACACTACACTACCACTACTACAACAGCTACAGCAGCAGCAACAACAACAACAGCTACAACTACAACAGCCACAACAACTACAACTTTAATAACGACAAAACCACCACCACCACCACAACAACAACAACAGCAACAGCAACAACAACAACAAGATCACCACCACTACTAGTACTATTACTACTACGACGACTACCACGACGACTAGTACTACGACTAGTACTACTACTACTACGACGACGACTACTACTACTACTACAACTACTACCACTACCACTACTACTACTACTACTACTACGACTCCTACTACGACGACAACTACTACTACTACTGCTACTACTACTACTACTAATACTACTACTACTACTCCTGCTACTACTACTACTACGACGACTACTACTACTACAACTACTACCACTACTACTACTACTACTATTACTACTACTACTACTACTACGACTGCTACTACTACTACTGCTACTACGACTACTACTACGACTACTACTACGACTACTACTACTACTACTACTTTTACTACTACTACTACGACTACTACTACTACTACTACGACTACTACTACTACTACTACTTTTACTACTACTACTACTACTACTTTTACTACTACTACTACTACTACTACTACTACTACTTTTACTACTACTACTACTACTGCTACTACTGCTACTACTACTACTACTACTTTTACTACTACTACTACTACTACTACTACTACTACTACTACTACTTTTACTACTACTACTACTACTACTACGACTCCTACTACGACTCCTACTACGACTACTACTACGACTACTACTACGACTACTACTACTACTACTACTACTACTACTACTACTACTACTGCTACTACTACTACTACTACTGCCGCTACTACTACTACTACTACTACTACGACTCCTACTACGACTCCTACTACGACTACTACTACGACTCCTACTACGATTCCTACTACGACTCCTACTACGACTCCTACTACGACTACTACTACTACTACTACTACTACTACTTTTACTACTACTACTACTACTACTACTGCTACTGCTACTGCTACTGCTACTACTACTACCACGACTACTACTAGTACTACTACGACTACTACTACGACTACTACTACTACGACGACGACTACTACTACTACTACAACTACTACCACTACTACTACCACTACTACTACTACTACTACTTTTACTACTACTACTACTACTGCTACTACTGCTACTACTACTACTTTTACTACTACTACTACTACTACTACTACGACTGCTACTACTACTACTGCTACTACGACTACTACGACTACTACTACGACTACTACTACGACGACGACTACTACTACTACTAACTACTACTACTACGACGACGACGACTACTACTACTACTACTACGACTCCTACTACGACTCCTACTACGACTACTACTACGACTACGACTACTACTACGACTACTACTACGACGACTACTACTACTTCTACTACTACTACTACTACGACGACGACGACGATGACGACGACGACGACGAAGACGACGACGACGACCACCACAACAACAACAACAAAAAAAAAACAACAACAACAACAACAACAACAGCAACAACAACCACAACTACAACCACAACAACAACAACCACGACAACAACAACAACAAGAACAACAACAACAACAGCAACAGCAACAACAACAACAACAGCAACAGCAACAGCAACCACAACCACAACCACAACCACAACAACCACAACAACCACAACAACAACAACAACAACAACAACAACAACAACAGCAGCAACAACAACAACAACCTCAACACCAACACCAACACCAACACCAGCAGCAGCAGCAGCAGCAACCACAACAACAACAACAACAACAACAACAACACCTACAGCTACAGATACAGCTACAACTACAACTACAGCGACTACAACTACTACAATCACTGCAACAATTACAACAACTACAACAACCACAGCTATCACTACCACTACACTACAGCACACTACAACTACAACCGTAACTACAACTACAACCACACTACACTACAAGTACGACTTCTCTACACTACACCACACTACATCCAGCAGTTGTGGGTGAGGTGGCCACTGCAACCACTCCAAAGAGTACAACTCCAACCACCTTTCGGTCCATGAGTGGGTTCGCTCGGCCATCAATGCATCACAACAACTCACCTCTCCCATAGATTCTTATCATTAAAACTTCCGCCACCGCCTCGCTCGGTACTACTGGTCAACGTTCATTATTGATGGTCCAAAAAATATATTGCATGGATAAGTGTTCACACATGTAAATACCGATGTACCTATGTAGATATTTCTTTGAATGTATTACTGCCCCTCCAAAACAATGTTGGCATTGGCGTCAAGCGGGTCCCCTTCTACCAGAGGTGATCCCCCAAAGCATCTGCAGCGATCCCTATGGCAAGTCTAATTGGGAAGTGAAAATCAACCATCAAATGGAGGTACCATTTGAAATTGCCAAAACGATGCAGAACAGATTTAATTTACCATACCTACATCACTATATTGAAACTATACTGAAGAATTCAAAGATGATTGAAAGATGTCATTATATAAAATTCAGAACTTGTTTGGAATTAGATGTTACTTTTCTACGTCCGTGCCCGGCCTGGCCAACAAACAGACCGCAGCCTCGGGCGAGCCCAGGTCATGTCCTGCGGGGGCCTGGCACCGAAGCGCTGGATGAGAACTGGGGAAGCCATTGGAAACCGTCATACCACTTGGAATTGCTGATTTGGGGCTTCCAAAAAAACTTTAGTTCGAGTGATCCCTGTCATACCTGTTTCTGACATATATTCTGACATTCTTTCTCGCACATCGTTTTGGCATCATATCTTTCCGGCAGGGAAGAGGAGAGGACAACTCCCCTCCTCTTCCTCCTCCTCCTGGTTGAGGTTCGGCAGTGCCCACTAAAATCTGGAACTCGCAGTTTTATCTGGCATATCTTCTGACATTCCTTCTGGCATTCTACCTGGCATACCTTCTGACATTCTTTCTGGCATATCTGCCTGGCGTATCTTCTGACATTCTTTTTGGCATTCTATCTGGCATTTATTGTGACATTCTATTCTATCCGTCATTCTATTTTCCGTTTCATCTGGCATCTTTTCAGGCAGTCATTCTGGGATTCTATCTGGCATCTATTCTGACGTTCTATCTGGCATTCTGTCTGGCAATCTCTGTGGCACCAGCCTCCTGAGCTCGCGATGTGTCGCGGGCTTCAGTCCCACTCCACAGCCCCCGAGCTCGCGGTGTACAGGCCCACTCCACAGCCTCCCGACCTCGCAGTTGAGATCCGGCAGTGCCCACTGTGATCCCAGTTTGAGGTCCGGTCGTGCCCACTGAGATCTGGAGCTGGCAGTTGAGGTCCGAAAGGCGGGCGGAAGGAAGAAGGAAGGAAGGAAGAAGGAAGGAAGGAGGGAGGGAAGGAGGGAAAGAAGAGGGGAAGGAAGGAGGGAGGGAAGGAAGGAAGGAGTAAGGAGGAAGGAGGAGAACACAACTCTGATAAAATCTAGAGACCCTCACCTGGCAGGTGGGGAATTTGAATATTCCCCTTCATCGATTCCACCTTTCTGGTGGATATCCCATTGGGAAAATAAGCCAAATCACTGACTGAACAAAGCCAGGGAGTTGAATTACTAGTTCCAAGGCCGGAAAATACTATATAAATGAGTTTTGGAGAAATTTGAGAATCTAGGTATCTCTTTCCAATGTTTCTGAATATTTCACCGAAATGGAAAAGGACATTACCTGGAAAATACCCTAACGACCGCAGACCCGGGCTGGAGCCTGCGCCAAATCTACCCACGATACACCTGTCAGCAGAAATGGCGGAAAAACTTGAGAGTTTACCCTCTGCTTATCTAACATAGCTATGGAAAATGGCCCATTTGTAGATAATTTATCTATCAAAAATGATGATTTTCCGTTTTTGTCTTAAATGTCCCGAATTGATCATTGGAAAATTTACAAGAAAATCTCGAGAAATCTTAGAGTTATAGGCTATATAGGGCTTTTATTGTGATTGTGGTTTGATATGGCTTGCTACTCAAAGAATGACAGAAACTCTGGACCCGCACCAGCTTCAAAGCCCAGCTGGGATGCTAAATGCTCCAGCCTCAGTCGTGGCTTCGGTCCCAGGGTGCCAAAGATTTCTACAGTTTGCCACTCAATGTCACCTAAGAAAAGGGTGGTTTCAATGGGAAAATCAACAATAAATGGCAACAAATGGTATATTTTCCACTGCCATGTTTCATTACCGACAAATCATAGATTATCACTGCTATGGGGTGCTATGGGTGTGTTCAAAAATTGGGCAACCACCCAAATCATGGCATGCGTTAAGAAGGGAAAGGATGATTTGATGATTAAAATCCCTTCCCCCTAATATTAAACACTCCTGAGAAACCATGGTGGATGTAGGGAATAGAAACCACTGAACGGGGGATTTTTTCTGATTAACCACTGAATTTTGGAGGGATTCCAACATTTTCAGACAAACCCTTCCTAGATTCTGAGGGCTCAGCAAGCCCCGGAGCATCTTCCGTTCTCCGCGCTGTAACCTGCACGATGTGGTGTCAACATGATGCTCCCTAGGAAACTGATGGTCAAATCAATGGTAGCGCTTTAACCAACAAGAACCCTCAAAACAGGTGGTTTCACACGATATACCCGAGGAGGTTTTCAATGTTGGTGGGAGCCGAACATCTTCACCGTCAGAAGCGCAACTTCTGTTCTTACCATTGCAATGAGGGTAGATTGCTGCTTAATTTAAGCGTCAGATCATCTCGGTAAATCACACTATTTTGGGACACCCCAATCCAATTCCCATCATTCTAGTGATGTCTAACATGAGGTCGTTAAATTTTATCCAGGGTCATGTGTGCCAATAACCAACCAGCAAGGGCTCCTTGTAAACCCAAATTGGGGATGGTGACTGTAAAATTTTGGCTGCCAGATTGCTGACCCAATTACCCCAAACTTTCATGAGGACCCAGTTGATTACCCAATTTCTTTGTGATTTGTCATTACTGTCGTTGCGTTACTAGTCGGCTTACTAATGAACAGTATTGAGCAGTGTCAAAAGACTGAATCCCGACTCTCGGGTGGATGGGGATTCCCACTTGCCAACTCTGGTTTTTGAAACTGCCCAAATGACTCCCACCTGCATGAGTTGCAACTATTCACTAATCTGACTTGAGGGCACGTTAATATATGTTTCCCCCATCCTAACCATCTTTTCTAGTCACGTCGCGACGTGATGTCGTCATAATCTATCCAGACATATCTCCATCATTCTACCGCAATGATATCTCATTCTGCCACCATTCTTGTTGGTTGAATCCTTATTGCTGATGAAACCACCAGGTACAGTAAGCATTGTCACCCCAGGGTCACCCTGACCCGCCTATCAACCTGGTTGGCTGCCAAGCGCACCATGTCGAACACGAAGGGCTCGTCGGGGCTTAACCTGAACGACTCATGCGGGGATGGGTCTATGGCAGCCAAAAAAAAATAGGACAGTACCCTCTGGTAAACTAACATAGCTACTGAAAATTGCCATTTATAACCCATTAAAAATGGTGGTTTTCCATAGTTATGTTAGTTTACCAGAGTGTAAATTGCAATCCATTTGCTAACTGGATTTGACTTTGACATCTTTTTGGCGATGCTTTGAACATCAAAAAATTGGGGCTGGTATTATCAACAATGGTGACTGTTCATTTTTAACAATTGCAATTGACTGGCTAAAAACGGGATCAAATGGATACAGTAGTTGAACCAACAAAATATGGGGGCTCAACTGTCGAACATGCACCACAATTCTATGGAATTGGTTTTTGTTGGTGCCATGTTACATCTTGTAGGAGAATGCGCTGTGACAAACCCGGTTTTTCGTGGTGACCATTGGAGCAATTCCAAAAACCTGTTCTGGATTGGTTCAAGTTCGTCTGGTCGATGAAGAATAAGATCTCCACATTGCAGTTCGTTCAAAACACCGATCCGTTTGCACCTTCCAAAACTCTTCATCAACTGCAACGTTTCACAAAGTTCCAGCATCGGCACTGCGGCTGCACCTAGCCATGCAGCGATTTTTTCGGGTTGTCAATCTAGCCACTCGGAACAGTCTCAGGGATCATCACCCCATTTTGGGGGGAACAAGACATAGGTGAAACTTCGAGGTTCGATGGATTTGATGGACTGTTCATCTTGATAACACATCTATTCGTATGGGGATGAGTGAAACCCTGCAGTGGCATTGGGCTGCTCACCTACCCATAAATAAGGGGTACACGGTCTTCACTGCCACCGGCTCATCGATATTGGCATATCATTTAGATGGATACAGATGAATAAAAGAACACCCGGGTTTGTCTCAAGATGGGCGATATGAATCTCATCTCCGACCAGCCAAAATATTATCCCGGCAGGAAACCCCAAACAGTGTGTAGTTAGGATTCCAAAAGGAACGGTGGAAAGGACCTAAAATCATCAGTGGCTGCAAGCTAGCAGGACCAGAGCGACCCTAGTAGTGAAAAGAAGAGCCAAAGTAAGATCTTTGTTCAAACTATCTCTAAATAATCTCCGAGGAAGATGTCTGCTCTCTTCACCAGGTCTCTGCACAAGATCTCCAGAAGGGGTCTCCTGGCAAGATCTGTGTACAAGAGTTCTATAAGAGCTCTCTGCACAGATCTCTTTAAGAGGTCTCTTGGCAAGACCTCCTGAACAATATCTCTATAAGAAATCTCATGGCTACATCTTTCAAGCTCTCTAGAAAAGATCTCTGAGCAAGATCGCTGCTCTCTTCACCAGGTCACAAGAGCTCTACAAGAGGTCTCCTGGCAAAATCTCTGTACAAGATCTCTATAAGAGCTCTGTTGGCAAGATCTCTGTAAGAGGTCTTCTGGCAAGATCCCCGAGCAAATCTCCATAAGAGGTCTCTTGGCAAGATTTCTTTACAAGCTCCCTAGAAGAGGTCTTTTGGCAAGATTTCTGTGTGAGATGTCTCGTTTTGTGCGAGCCTGCGCGGTCGAAATGCACATGGACATATCACAAGAGCCATTTTGTGTAGAAATTTACAAGGAAAATGCCGGACGCCCCGGATACCACCTCGATTAAACACCGGGCCCTAACACTTACCGTTAGAACCCCTCAGTGTGGCCACACTGTTTGGGGAAAAATGTAAGAAAGGATGAAGGATGAAAGGTGACCATAAACCATGGGGATGGGGGTTTCGAGGTTCCAAACTTTGAAACAAGCCGCGTCTCCGACATCAACGGCGTCGCACTTCTCTCAGCCTCGTAGCGTAAGCCTCTCCTGCTGCAACTGTCGAGCCTGTTTCAGCAGGCTGCCTTGGTCAAGGAGGTCTAAACCTAGGCGCCAGGTTCGCGTTGCTTCACTGGCATGATCATGGACCCAAAGGCATTGAAACTTCAACAAATGTTCATTTTCTATTTGAATTTCATTAAGAAAACTATACTTTTTTGGTATCAACTCCAAAAAATAACCATTTGCCGAAATATATTGAAATATCTAGATTTCCATAGTTTTGCCATGTTTTTCTCCATGTCATCCCCATTTTTCCGATGTTTTTTTCCCACATGTTCTACCCATGTCTTCGGCCCCCCAGCACCTCGGCACAGCAGCGTCAGCTCGGGCATCGCCAGGCCGCTGTCACTGAAGCAACGCTCCAGGTCCAGCATCCGGCGCACGCGCTGACGCCAAAAGAAACAGGAGGTGGTTGGTGATTTTATGGTGATTTTATGGTGATTTTATGGTGATTTTATGGTGATTTTATGGTGATTTTATGGTGATTTTATGGTGATTTTATGGTGATTTTATGGTGGTTTTATGGTGGTTTTATGGTGATTCTATGGTGATTTTATGGTGATTTTATGGTGATTTTATGGTGGTTTTATGGTGGTTTTATGGTGATTTTATGGTGATTTTATGGTGATTTTATGGTGCTTTATTGTTACTTTATGGTGATTTTATTGTGATTTTATGGTGATTTTATGTTGCGTTTATGGTAATTTTATGGTGATTTTATGGTGATTTTATGGTGCTTTTATGGTGGTTTTATGGTGATTTTATGGTGATTTTATGGTGATTTTCTTGTGATTTTATGGTGATTTTATGGTGGTTTTATGGTGCTTTTATGGTGATTTTATGGTGATTTTATGGTGCTTTTATGGTGCTTTTATGTTGCTTTTATGGTGCTTTTATGGTGATTTTATGGTGCTTTTATGGTGCTTTTATGGTGCTTTTATGGTGATTTTATGGTGCTTTTATGGTGATTTTATGGTGCTTTTATGGTGATTTTATGTTGATTTTATGGTGATTTTATGGTGATTTTATGGTGATTTTATGGTGCTTTTATTGTGATTTTATGGTGATTTTATGGTGGTTTTATGGTGATTTTATGGTGATTTTATGGTGATTTTATGGTGATTTTATGTTGCTTTTATGGTGATTTATGGTGATTTTATGGTGCTTTTATGGTGCTTTTATGGTGCTTTTATGGTGCTTTTATTGTGATTTTATGGTGCTTTTATGGTGATTTTATGGTGATTTTATGGTGATTTTATGTTGCTTTTATGGTGATTTTATGGTGATTTTATGGTCATTTTATGGTCATTTTATGGTGGTTTTATGGTGATTTTATGGTGATTTTATGGTGATTTTATGGTTGTTTTATGGTGTTTTTATGGTGATTTTATAGTGATTTTATGGTGATTTTATGGTGGTTTTATGGTGATTTTATGGTGTTTTTATGGTGATTTTATGGTGGTTTTGTGGTGATTTTATGGTGGTTTTATGGTGGTTTTATGGTGATTTTATGGTGATTTTATTGTGATTTTATTGTTGTTTTATGGTGATTTTATGGTGATTTTATGGTGATTTTATGGTGATTTTATGGTGATTTTATGGTGATTTTATGGTGATTTTATGGTGGTTTTATAGTGGTCTTATGGTGGTTTTATGGTGATTCTATGGTGGTTTTATGGTGGTTTTATGGTGGTTTTATGGTGATTTTATGGTGATTTTATGGTGATTTTATGGTGGTTTTATGGTGATTTTATGGTGGTTTTATGGTGATTTTATGGTGATTTTATGGTGGTTTTATGGTGATTTTATGGTGATTTTATGGTGATTTTATGTTGGTTTTATGGTGATTTTATGGTGATTTTATGGTGATTTTATGGTGATTTTATGGTGATTTTATGGTGGTTTTATGGTGATTTTATGGTGATTTTATGGTGATTTTATGGTGTTTTTTATGGTGATTTTATGGTGCTTTTATGGTGATTTTATGGTATTTATGGTGATTTTATGGTGATTTCATGGTGATTTTATGATTTTATGGTGATTTTATGGTGATTTTATGGTGGTTTTATGGTGATGTTATAGTGATTTTATGGTGGTTTTATGGTGATTTTATGGTGGTTTTATGGTGATTTTATGGTGCTTTTATGGTGCGTTTATGGTGTTTTTATGGTGTTTTTATGGTGATTTTGTGGTGATTTTGTGGTGATTTTATGGTGATTTTATGGTCGTGGTGGTTTTATGGTGATTTTATGGTGATTTTATGGTGATTTTGTGGTGATTTTGTGGTGATTTTATAGTGATTTTATGGTGGTTTTATGGTGCGTTTATGGTGGTTTTATGGTGGTTTTATGGTGATTTTATGGTGATTTTATGGTGGATTTTATGGTGATTTTATTGTGATTTTATGTGGTTTTATGGTGATTTTATGGGTTTTATGGTGGTTTTATGGTGATTTTATGGTGCTTTTATGGTGATTTTATGGTGTTTTTATGGTGATTTTATGGTGATTTTATGGTGATTTTATGGTGGTTTTATGGTGGTTTTATGGTGGTTTTATGGTGATTTTATCGTGATTTTATGGTGATTTTATGGTGATTTTATGGTGATTTTATGGTGGTTTTATGGTTGTTTTATGGTGGTTTTATGGTGGTTTTATGGTGATTTTATGGTGGTTTTATGGTGATTTTATGGTGATTTTATGGTGCTTTTATGGTGCTTTTATGGTGCTTTTTGGTGATTTTATGGTGCTTTTATGATGATTTTATGGTGGTTTTATGGTGATTTTATGGTGCTTTTATGGTGATTTTATGGTGGTTTTATGGTGATTTTATGGTGATTTTATGGTGATTTTATTATATATGGTGATTTTATGATTTTATGGTGATTTTATTCTGATTTTATGTACTTTTATGGTGATTTTATAGTGATTTTATGGTGATTTTATGGTGATTTTATGGTGATTTTCTTGTGATTTTATGTTGGTTGATTTTATGGTGGTTTTATGGTGCTTTTATGGTGATTTTATGGTGATTTTATGGTGATTTTATGGTGATTTTATGGTGATTTTATGGTGATTTTATGGTGATTTTATGGTGATTTTATGGTGATTTTATGGTGATTTTATGGTGATTTTATGGTGATTTTATGGTGGTTTTATGGTGGTTTTATGGTGATTCTATGGTGATTTTATGGTGATTTTATGGTGATTTTATGGTGGTTTTATGGTGGTTTTATGGTGATTTTATGGTGATTTTATGGTGATTTTATGGTGCTTTATTGTTACTTTATGGTGATTTTATTGTGATTTTATGGTGATTTTATGTTGCGTTTATGGTAATTTTATGGTGATTTTATGGTGATTTTATGGTGCTTTTATGGTGGTTTTATGGTGATTTTATGGTGATTTTATGGTGATTTTCTTGTGATTTTATGGTGATTTTATGGTGGTTTTATGGTGCTTTTATGGTGATTTTATGGTGATTTTATGGTGCTTTTATGGTGCTTTTATGTTGCTTTTATGGTGCTTTTATGGTGATTTTATGGTGCTTTTATGGTGCTTTTATGGTGCTTTTATGGTGATTTTATGGTGCTTTTATGGTGATTTTATGGTGCTTTTATGGTGATTTTATGTTGATTTTATGGTGATTTTATGGTGATTTTATGGTGATTTTATGGTGCTTTTATTGTGATTTTATGGTGATTTTATGGTGGTTTTATGGTGATTTTATGGTGATTTTATGGTGATTTTATGGTGATTTTATGTTGCTTTTATGGTGATTTATGGTGATTTTATGGTGCTTTTATGGTGCTTTTATGGTGCTTTTATGGTGCTTTTATTGTGATTTTATGGTGCTTTTATGGTGATTTTATGGTGATTTTATGGTGATTTTATGTTGCTTTTATGGTGATTTTATGGTGATTTTATGGTCATTTTATGGTCATTTTATGGTGGTTTTATGGTGATTTTATGGTGATTTTATGGTGATTTTATGGTTGTTTTATGGTGTTTTTATGGTGATTTTATAGTGATTTTATGGTGATTTTATGGTGGTTTTATGGTGATTTTATGGTGTTTTTATGGTGATTTTATGGTGGTTTTATGGTGATTTTATGGTGGTTTTATGGTGGTTTTATGGTGGTTTTATGGTGATTTTATGGTGGTTTTATGGTGATTTTATGGTGATTTTATGGTTGTTTTAGGCATGCGGCTGATACGGCGCCCTTGGAAGGGTTGTCGATTTTGAGATGTGCCATTTACGATCCCGTGGAAGGGTTGCAAATTTCAAAAATGAGGTTTTCCCAAATGGGGGTATAGGATTTGAAATTTTCGATTTTTTAACGTGTTGCACATGGAAGAGGCACAGGTTGCATATGTTGTCGTATGATCGTCAGGGGGGGGTGGGGGGGGATGTTAACGTTCGTGTCGAGCGCTTCCCTCACGGTACGGAAGAGGCACATGTTGCATTTGTTGTCGTATGATCGTCAGGGGGGGTGGGGGGGGATGTTAACGTTCGTATCGAGCACTTCCTTTACGTTACAGAAGAGGTTGCCGTTGCTGACATCTTGCATTGTCTGACGCGCTTTTTGCGGATTTCCTGCTTGAACCTATGTTGGTCGTGGTTGGATTTCCTCTAGAACCATTATTGCTGGAACTCAACAACTTGATGGAACTTGGAAACACTTAAAAAAATGGCGACCTCAATCCATGCTCCACACAAAGAAACAACAGGTGTACCAAAAACGGTGCAGTTATGCTTACAGCTGGACTTGGCGTCGCAACGCTGCCTTGTTACAGACTGTAGCATCAGCACTGCCACAAGCACTCTGGCACCGCTAACCTCGAACAGTGGAAAAAAAAGAGGATTGAATACCGCCTTGATTGATGTGATTTGGATGACTCAAAATCATAAAATTCTAATGTTTTTTTTTTCACCCTTGAAGAGAAAAATCGAGTCACCGCGCAGGCGAAATTCAAATTTTCACTCTTGAGTCACACGCCTGCCAATCGAAATGAATGTCCATGTTGCACACATTTTTTGACGACTCCTGCAAATACCAGCATTTTCTCTCTTACCCTCAAAAATGACAATTTCAAATTCGTCACCCTTACAAGGGCGCCGAGTCAACCGGTTGCCTTGTTTTATGGTGGTTTTATGGTGGTTTTATGGTGATTTTATGGTGGTTTTATGGTGTTTTTATTGTGATTTTATGGTGATTTTATGGTGATTTTATGGTGCTTTTATGGTGATTTTATGGTGCTTTTATGGTGATTTTATGGTGATTTTATGGTGCTTTTATGGTGCTTTTATGGTGATTTTATGATGATTTTATGGTGATTTTATGGTGATTTTATGGTGATTTTATGGTGGTTTTATGGTGGTTTTATGGTGGTTTTATGGTGCTTTTATGGTGCTTTTATGGTGATTTATGTTGATTTTATGGTGCTTTTATGGTGATTTTATGGTGGTTTTGTGGTGATGTTATGGTGGTTTTATGGTGATTTTATGGTGGTTTTATGGTGATTTTATGGTGATTTTATGGTGATTTTATGGTGATTTTATGGTGCTTTTTATGGTGATTTTATGGTGTTTTTATTGTGATTTTATGTACTTTTATGGTGATTTTATAGTGATTTTATGGTGATTTTATGGTGTTTTTATTGTGATTTATGTTGATTTTATGGTGATTGTATGGTGATTTTATGGTGATTTTATGGTGCTTTTTGGTGATTTTATGGTGATTGTATGATGATTTTATGGTGGTTTTATGGTGATTTTATGGTGCTTTTATGCTGATTTATGTTGATTTTATGGGGATTTTATGGTGCTTTTATGGTGATTTATGTTGATTTTATGGTGATTGTATGGTGATTTTATGGTGATTTTATTGTTATTTTATGGTGATTTTATGGTGATTTTATGGTGATTTTATGGTGCTTTTATGGTGATTTCTGTTGATTTTATGGTGATTTTATGGTGATTTTATGGTGATTTTATGGTGATTTTATGGTGATTGTATGGTGATTTTATGGTGATTTTATGGTGATTTTATGGTGATTTTATGGTGATTGTATGGTGATTTTATGGTGATTTTATGGTGATTTTATGGTGTTTTTATTGTGATTTTACGGTGGTTTCATGATGATTTTACGGTGATTTTACGGTGATTTTAGTGATTTTAGGGTGATTTTATGGTGATTTTATGCTGATATTTATGGTGAAACCTTGGCCATACCCCAAAAGTATTCCCATTCACATTGAATGATTTGTAGTGATTTATGTTTTCTTGAAACGGGGAATAGTATACTTGAGATCGTTGATGGCTGGTTGTAATTGCTATCTCTTCTTACTTGATTGAGTGATTTATGGTTAATTCATTAACAATCAAATAAATGGAGACATGTTTGCAACTGGGGACTTGATGGGAATAAATTGTAATAAAACAACATACAACAACAGGTATCTTGCTGTAAACTGGATGATTTCGCCGACCAAAATGGAGGTATAGACCCAATGGGGATACAATGAGGACATAAAATGGGAATAAATGGGATATCATGATTTGATTTGAGTGTTTCGGAAATTGCGGAGATCCCAAAATGGCCATTCCATGGAGAATGCGACACTGGATTTGGGGTATTTGGGGTATAGTGCCATTTCTGGACAGACCTAGATTTTTGTTTAGGCTTCCGGGGGTGTTGAGACTTTGCACATTGGATCACGTTGGCCTTGATGTTTTTTTGGGTAAAAAGTCACTATCTACTTTGCAAAGGCAAAGGCGATGTTTGAACATGGCCCAACCCTCCCGAAGAAAAGACAGGCCAGTACCAAAAAATGGCATGTTTGTCTCAAGAATGGCCCAAATTGGTGGGGTTCCCAGACTTGAAAGCTGTGGCCCTGGCACCTGCGACGCATTCTCTGGAAGAGGAACCACACCCTGTTCCTGCCAAGTTCTCAGGCGAACCACTGGCTGTAGACTCTGCCAAAAAATCCATATTCCAGATTATTCCAGTACATCACCTTACTAGTGCCTAGTAGGAATGGGAGAATGTGATGATTGTTGATCATTCTCATCCATCATTCCACCCTACGTTTAGCACCAGGCTGGTATCTCCGACCTTCAGAAGGCCTAACGCACCAACGGCTTGGGCGACTGCTTTGGCATTGAAGCCTGGCCATGACCGATGGCCCGCATCTCATCGGATCTAAAAGCCACGAAAAACACCAAGCATGATAAGCATGTTGTGATTTTGTGGGGCGTTTCATGGAAATATCATGCGGAGATAACTATGGCATATCATAAACTTATCATTGGATGGTTTTTTAGGGAAAAAATTACAGGAGTCCTTGATTTTTCCATCAGGTCATACATGTGTCCCATCAAACAAAATACTATGGGACGTGTCCAAAGACGTTCTCTAGTGTTCAAACGAAAAATGTGTTTTCCGGGTCCTCCAAGTGTTCCCGGTCAGCTTCCCACAACCATCAGATCTTTTGGCTTGAACTGCCATGGAAACCCCAACCAAAGTGGATCAGCAAATGGTGTAGGCAGCATCCCAAGTGCCCTTGTGAACATCAAAAAAGCTGGCAGATGGAGCCATATGGACCCATATGGACCCATAGTCCATACTACAAACCAGTCATCCATTCGGATCCATTCGGTCCATGGTCCATCATGCTCGATCTAAGCCTCGCCAGAAGCTTTCCTGGATCAACCAAAAGCAATCTCAAGAAAAAAAACCTGGAACTACATAGTCCCTCCGCCCTGAAAAATATGTTTATTACCCCCCACATCGAGACCTTGGCGGCATGTATATAGATCATCTAGTCATGACTTGGGTGCCAAAGGGGGGTATGTTGTTTTGTCGGGGGATGGGAGGCATTGAGCCAGGCCCCTTTTTTATAGCAGGCTCTTCCAACGGCTTTCCAGTACATATGTGGGTCTGCCTGAAAAGGGGCTATACCGCGGTATACCATGGTATACCTATAAAATTGCCATTGAATAGGGAAAATGATGATTAACCAAGGGGATTTAGAGGTACCCTATTTTCAGACAAACCCATGTAAATACACATGATGCAACAAAATGTCATGTGGAATACTATGAACATGAATTGACATGTGGCCTCGCAAATATTTGGGAGGCACCTCGCACAAATTTACTGCTAAGTAAATTATAAGATATGATAAAAAAATAACAAGTACATCTTTAATACTCCAAAAAATGAAAAATACGTTATTGGCTCGTGAGCAGTATCGGGCATAGATCCTCCCTTGTATATAATTTTGTTTGCACTTTGGGGACATCACCCTATAGACTTGAACTTCAACAGGCGGTTGCTCCTCCTCCACGACTGTGGCAACTGCTGGGTAGAGGTCCTACTGAAAGCCCCGGTTGAAAGTGAGTTTTACGATGATTTCCTTTGATGCATACAGATAGCTGTACTCCAGGTTCATATTTTTGTGGAACAAATTTCGCAACGCCCACAGTGCTCCTGAACATCTTGCGGAGTCAAGAGGGCAGTTGCCAGCAAGGGCCTTGCATCTAGTGAGTCTAGCGTGGCGTAAACAAACATGGGACAACAAGAGCTGGATTTTGGAGGCTAGTTCGATTCTACAATTCAACATAGACAAATTATAAATTACACTCTCAACTAGTACCAAGGGACCCTGGGAATACCAGGTTATCCCATATTCGTCCCTAAAAGCCTGGTCTATTTGATGTTTCACCGTTCTCGATTTCTGACTACTTTAGACCTTTGTCCACTTCCCGTGCCAAGAGTCTAGAATGATGGCACCCCCTTGCCATATCATGCCATGTCATCATCATTCTTTATTTTGTTCCTTTTTCAAACAAACAACATGTCAAACAAAAACTGCAGATCTTTGTCTCGATCTTGTCTGGTACCAGAGTGCTATATTATGCTGCTGCATTTATTATGTTCTTATCTCTTCCAAGTCTCTTCCAGCATGTCAGAAAGTGGATTTCGAAAAACACAAAATGAATCAAATCAACAAAAAAAATACTCGACTGATCCCTATTACATACCCTCAAGTTCAAGATATCTAGGATGGCTACAGAAATCTTAACGACCTTTGAAAGTTTGGTTATATGAGCCTTCTTGTGGCCTCCAAGATTCAACAAACAAGGAAACTTGTTTGGAATACAAGAAGAGAGGTCAAGATGAAGAACTTGCTGCGCTGCAATGTGTCAACACAACAGTTGAGTTAATTTTCCGCACTTCGGTCGGTCAACATTCCCATCTTCGGACAAAATGATTTCGAACTCACTTGGTGAAGTGATGAGCAACGTGCAGTAATGTGCAAGAGAACCATTCTGAATTAACATCGTATTTGGCTGGGCACAGATTTATTGAATGAACATGAGCCTCAATGTCATGTTTTATGCCATTACCTCCAACCACGCCAAAAAAAATAAGCTCCGGTGGAATCCCCAACAGTCGCAACGTTTTATTTTTACAAATCTTTCTGAAGCGTGCTGCGAAGCCAAGCGCTGGAAACCCTGTTGTACCTGTTGAACCTGGCCTGGCCCTGCACCAAAGATTCCCAAACCTTCTCCGGGACCTTCTCTGAAATCTTCTCCGGAACCCGTTGAACCTTCGCACCAAAGCCTCCCAGACCTTCTCCAGAACCTTCTCCGGAACCCTGTTGAACCTGACCTGGCTCTGCACCAAAGCCTCCCGGAACCCTTCTTCGGAAACCTGACCCGGCGCCTGCACCAGTGCACCCCGGAGCTATTCTGGGCTGAAGACCCCATTAGCTTACGCTGTTGGGGAAAAAGACTTGGTTTAGAATGTGCCAAAACCAGATTAACGTGCGATGAACAACTTGCAGTGATCTGCGTTGTTGTTTTCATCTACCATCTCAAATCTTCAGGTACCAACACACCTTGTGTCCAACCATGTCCAACCAAGGCATTTGGAGGAAAACAGGGGTCCAACATCATCTTTCCCAGGGTCCGTGTAAAAATATGTTTAAAGCTTGGAGGCAATTATTCTAGGCCCAGAGGCTATTCCATCCCTTCTACATCTTCGACATCCTTTTGCATCCTTGATTCCGTCCACGATCTCAAACCTTTAGCCACCATCTCAACGGCTAGATACCAACAAACCTTGTGTCCAGCCAAGGCATTTGGAGGGAAACAAGGGTCCAACATCATCTTCCCCAAGGTCAATGCGTTTCGAATTCTTTTTAAAGTTTGGAGACAACCATTCTCTAGACTTGGCAAGACCCCCCAAGTCGGTTTCTGCTCGCAGGTCAACCTGCATTTCTTTTGCATGACGAACAAAGAGCGCCATTCACTTATAACAACATGCCCCCTTGATAGATAACTTTTGGAGAACAAAGGAGGAAGACAAACGCCTGTCGGAACTTGTCATGGAGAAGCAGGCTCTGTTTTGAAAACCGATGATCTTACCAGACAGTGGCACCGCAAGTTTTTTTTAGAAGAAGGTGGGGGCAAAGCGATTCTGAAATATGACAGGGCGCCACAACATGTGTCTTAAAAACACATTGCACAACTGTGACGCACAGTTTTAGTGAGCAAATATGCAAAAATGCATTAACGTTCGTCTGATTTTATGGTTTGTAAGGATATTGTTTTTCAACCCTCCCACCTGTAATTCTTGAGGTTCTCTTTTGATCACCGTTGCTGCATACATGTTTTAAAAATTCTAAGAGGCAGTGTCAAGGGGGCATGCAAGATCTTGAGGGTATCCCATAATTATTATGACGTCCTTTGCAGCATTTATCCTCCCTAACAATTTCTGCCACTGCTACCAACCCATGTATAGGACATGTTGAAGGTCTAAAATAAAAAAAGGCGAAAAGGTCTGAAACGCCCAATTCTAGACCCGATGTCCCCCCCGGCCCTGTGCCCTCTGATTGTGCACCTGAAGTACTTGAGGGTATTACAATTTTGGGTTTCAGGGGTGTACAGACAATACATTTTTGGAAAGTTCCCTGCCGCGTGAACGTCTCCAATACATATTCTCACATCGCAGTCAACACCAGCCTCTTTCTTGCAAATTCCTCTAGCTCTTTCCGGAGGCATCTACTGATTTGCGGATGCAGAAATTATGATGATCCTTACCGTAACTTGTCAGACTTACAAGCGAATGATAGATGTCCACAGATGTTCTTCATGAAATACATGAAATGGAATCCCAAGCTAGTGAATGAAGCACGTGAACACTCTGAAAACGAGATGCACCCCAAAAAAAAAACACAGTTGTCATACAGAAATGATAATATACAAGCATTGGGTTCAGATGTGAAGCATCGTTCTCGAATCTAAATCACGAGCTGTCCAACCTCGTGAGGAACTCTGCCTGCGAGACGGAGGGCGGAAGCGCGGCCTGGCGCTGATTCCATGATGTTGGACTTGGATGGGTTGTGCAAGTGTTTACACAGCAAACATGTGTAAAAAAAACAAAAAATGATATATGTATATCTATGTATGTGCATACGTATATGCAACCGTTTATGTAAACGTATATGTATGTGTATGCGCATGTGCATGTGCATGTCTACATGTAAATATGCATTTTGCATGTGCATACGTGTATATATATATTGTGAAACCACTTGTCATACACATCCATGTCTCAGGTTCCATTGACCTTTAACAGCTTTTCACTGCTTGCATCCATCGCCGGCCGCCTCGCCGTCCTTAGTGGTGGGCGGGACAGGGCATTGAGCCTTGGTAGGAGCTACGGGTGAAACAGGAAGCAGCAGCAGGGTCTCTGCATTGGGTTGATCAGGCTGGCAGGGTTCAGCTTTCCGGTAAGGTGTGATTGGGGATCCCACTAAACATTCGCATTGGTAGCGGAGCATTGGGCTGCCGCGTAATCACAGGCTCCTTAAGGGGGATTTGTTTACCTGGGGTAGGTACAACACAGTTTTCCTTAGGAAAGACCTGAGACATGGAGGGTTCTACAGCGGACGCGCAAGCAGCGGGATCTGGGTTGCCGGGATCCATGGTGCCGTGGAATCAGATTCCACGATTCACACCTGGCGAAACAGATGTTCGCACCTACTCCAAGAAGCTTCAGTTCTTGCGAGAACTGTGGCCAGCCGAATACCTGGATCAACTTGCTCCAAGGGCTGCGATGGCAGTTGAAGGGGTAGCCTTTCAGAAGGTGTCACGTTTGGACCCTGGTCGCCTGAAGTCCAAGGACGGGGTCAAGTACTTGGTGGAGGCCCTCGGAGGAGAATGGGGTCGTCTTCCGAGTGAGGAGAAATTTGACTTGTTTGAGAAAGCCTTGTACATGACCTCGCAGAAAAGTGATGAGTCAAATGACTCCTATTTGGCTCGGCATGATGCTGCCTTCGAGGAGCTGATGAGCCAAAAGGTGCAGCTGGAAGATGTCAGAGCATACGTGCTCCTTCGTCAAAGTGTCCTTGGTGCCGAAGATCGCAAAAAGATCATATTGGATTGTGCAGGAAATCTTTCTTATGATCTGGCTCGAAAGAGCATCCGGTTGTTGGGATCGAAGTTTTTCCAGGACTTGCAGACCCAGGGCAAAACTCAGGGCCGCACAAAGACCTATGATGTGAACCATGTTGATGAAGAGCCGATCTACTACCAGGAAGAGGAAGAGATGGATGAAGACGTCCTGATGCAGCAACTGCTTGAAAGTGGTGACGATGATGCCATGTGGCCAACATCGGATTCGGAAACTTCAGCGGCGGATTCGGAAACTCCCAGGCCCTCGGATTCGGAAACTTGCCGTCCCTCGGATTCGGAAACTTCAGCGGCGGATTCGGAAACTCCCAGGCCCTTGGATTCGGAAACTTGCCTTTCCCCCTCGGATTCAGTAACTTCAGCGGCGGATTCGGAAACTCCCAGGCCCTCGGATTCGGAAACTTGCCTTTCCCCCTCGGATTCGGAAACTTCAGCGTCGGATTCGGAAACTCCCAGGCCCTCGGATTCGGAAACTTGCCTTTCCCCCTCGGATTCGGAAACTTCAGCGTCGGATTCGGAAACTCCCAGGCCCTCGGATTCGGAAACTTGCCTTTCCCCCTCGGATTCGGAAACTTCAGCGTCGGATTCGGAAACTTCCAGGCCCTCGGATTCGGAAACTTGCCTTTCCCCCTCGGATTCGGAAACTTCAGCGTCGGATTCGGAAACTCCCAGGCCCTCGGATTCGGAAACTCCCAGGCCCTCGGATTCGGAAACTTCAAGGCCCTCGGATTCGGAAACTTCAAGGCCCACGGATTCGGAAACTCCGTGGCCCTCGGATTCGGAAACTCCCTGCCCCCCGGATTCGGAAACTTCGAAGCCCGCGGATTCGGAAACTGCCAGGGCGTCGGATTCGGAAACTCGCTGTCCCCCGGATTCGGAAACTTCGAAGACACGGATTCGGAAACTTCCAGGCCCTCGGATTCGGAAACTTCAAGGCCTTCGGATACGGAAAGTTGCGGCTCCCCCCGGATTCGGAAACTTGAATTTGGGAATTAGAAATAGCATTGGTGTGGAAACTCCCAGTGCCGAGATCTCAAAAAAAAACAAACTGCATTGTGGAAAAAAGAACATTCCGGATGTAGTTCGTCGGATTGATCTGAAAATGCAAACTGATCTCCTATATGTATAGACTCACTGATGCAATCCGAATGGTTGATCATACACGAATCCAATGTATCCCAATATTGACTGGTGTTTCCCATCATTGGGAATCACTTACATGCAAGTGCAGCTGATGCCTTGTCAAACTTACAGCAGCAGGATTTATACCAATGATCACTTGACGCAAACAGTGAGAATGCGGACAAGTGAACAATTCCTTTATATCTGGAGTGTATATGGTCTATATGCATGATATGCATGTAGAATGGGCGACAACGGTCCATTGATCTACTTTGAGTTCCCATAACTATTCCGCCTCCGCCAAACACGACGCCGCAAATGATAGTTGGTGGTTTTTTTTTCGAGCTCACAACTGACGTTGTGCCTTCGGCATGCCCTGCTGGAGGTTCCAAGACTTGTATCGACCGCTTGAACTATGGTGGCCATGTGGGCCATATAGCTGCATTGTTGCAGAATTCCATCCCCAAAAAACAGTGCAATTCCATTCTATTAGCAGTAGTACCGCGCAAGGCGGTGGTGGAAGTTTCAAAAAAGAGGACACCGATAGGAGGAGTTGGTTGTTGTGACGCACGGATGGTATAGCGAATCGACTGGTGGACCGAAAGGTGGTTGCAGTTGTGTTTTCTGGAGTGGTTGCAACGGTTGCAGTTGTCACCTTACCACAACTGCTGGATGTAGTGTTACATAGTGCTGTTGCAGCTGCAGCTGTACGTGTAGCTGTAGTTGTAGTTGGGTGGAAGTTGTATGTTGTAGCTGTATAATGTTGTAATGCCATGTCATTCGTGTGGTATAGTTGCAGTTGCAGTTGTGGTGTGGTGCAATTAGTTTGTAGTATTGCGCACTGTAGCGTGGTATTGTGTAGTCTAGCGTATTGTGGTGTAAAGTAGTATTGTTGTTGCTGTTGTTGTAATGTAATGTCGTGTAGCGCAATGTAGTGGTAGTTGCAGTTGTAGTGTAATGTAATGTAATTAGTGTAGTGTAGCGTAATGTCAATGAGCCAGATAGAATGCCAGAAGATATGTCAGATCGAATGCCAGAAGATATGTCAGATAGAATGCCAGAAAGTTTGCCAGTAACAAAACGTGTAAATGTCATGGTGGGGATCAATCGAAGTAAAGTAATTCAGAAGTTTCTATGTTTCATCTTCTCGTCTCGGACTTTTCCCATCTCTGCCTTTCATCTGTCCATATTGTCGGAAGTTTGACGTCTAAGCTTCATTCGATAATTCGAAGAGAAAAATCATGCCGGGGTTTCAGAAATGCAACTCTTTGAAACTCGGATACCTGTTGGTAGGGCAGGAAGAAATTATCTCCGCGTTTTCTTCTTAGAATCTGCATCCAACAGTATCCAGCAGTTCGGAACCATCCCGCTATACTGCACAGGACGCGACGTGGGGCAATCTAAGGACCTTCCCCACCGAAACCCTTGGGACAGATTTGCCATGAGTACCAGCGTGGGCTCGGCTATAGGGCACAAGTTTCCAACCTGGAAAACTGCTGTTTGGTCCAACATGTAGTATCATGTATATCCAAAAAAAACTGTAAAAAGCTGCCTGCGGCGTTCAGCCTGAAGCGCAATGGACAAAATCACGAGATGACGGCATTAGACTGGGAGAAACGTATTCAAATATTCTGTTTCTTCATTAGACGAACTGTCAGCAATACAGCAAACAAATTGGACAGGTGATTTTCACATTGTTTCAGTAGGAATGCTTACATCAATTTTTTTTCTTTCAAAGTTACAGGAACGAAGTAACAAGCCTGTGATGACATCCATTTTTTCAGGCTGATGATGCTGTGCTTTGGTTTTAGTGTTGTCAATAGGTCGCCAAAAATATTCAGATGTCGTTTTCAAGCACCATCTAAAGAAGTTGATATCAAAACATGGGGATCCCATCACCAGTAAAAGGAAACGCTCAGCACAACAAATGTTGAATGGATCAATATGAATGAAGTTAGACAGTCCAAAAATTCCGCATATCACCCATCAACGTACCATTCACCGGTTGCTGACCGGTGGACCTTGGATCAACTGTGGGTACTCATGGAGCTTGCCTCTCCTATCGAAACATTGCTTTGGCAACTCACCTTTTCTGGTTCCTGTCAGAAAGGAACCAATTCATGTATGTTCCGGTGCAGCTTGACGGTGTAGCTTGTGCTAGCAAAGCACCAAACCTCAATTGGCTCTCACTGTACTCTGCCCACGATTTTGCAGCGCTCGGCCTTATGGCTCGGGGCAGCAACGGATAAATAGACACATGATGATAAGCTGAAAAGTTTTGCAGAATATGCTTCAATGATGATAGGTTGTGTTGATGAAAATGGTTTTCTTCTCTGCCTTCAATTCGAAAGCCGGTCACATAACAAGCTTTTTATTTCTCTCATCCGTCTTGCTCAAGAGCGCCACCTGCGCAAAATGCGCTCTGCCAGCTCGGCCATGGGCAAAGCTCTGTGGCTCTTCAAGGCATCCACGATATGCACCAAATTGAACTTGCGAGCTTCGCTCAAAATCACTAGATTGGACTCCACAGCCACCAAGGCAGCAAAGGTCTTTCTGAAGCCGTCGCTTTCGAAGCGCTTCACCAACTTGCCCATTGCCACGTGTCTTGCCTGGCCCTCCAGCAACGGTGCCTCGGTGGCATCAGGCTTCAATCCTTTGCGGAACAGCTCCCATGCAAGCTCCTTCCGCTCATCTGCTTTTCTCTTTCGATCAGCTGCCTTCTTTGCAACTTTGCTGCGAATCGCTTCCATTGTCGACCAGGCGGATTTTTTTGGCATCGCCACTGGCCTGCCTGCACCTTTGTCAGTCCGTAGCCGAGCATCTGCTTCGTCAATGTTTCCAGGCGCATGCTTTTCGGTGAACATGTCCGTGGTGGCCAGTGACACAAAGCCGTCAGCTTCGAGCCACCTGGTGAGGAGCTCATGTGGGCAGCTCCCACACTTGCTGTACAGTGAGCCTTGATAGCTTGCAGGTAAAAAAAAAACAGCGCGTCATCAGCACATGACACTAGCCAAAAAAACCACGAAACGGATAAATGTTTATCGAAGGAAGTTTAGAAGTCAAACTTTCCCGATAATATGGACGGATGAAAAGCAGAGCAGGGCAGAGGCAGAGAGAAGAGAAAGATTAGGAGAGAGAAGATCAGAAGAGAAAGAGTCAGAAGGAAGAAGATGCAGATGCGCGAAAAAGTCAGAAAGTCGCGATTCACTGTGTTTTTCCAATGATCTGTCGCTCCGGAGGGTCGAAAAGTAGGCGGCAGCTGGCCAGATGAGAGATGGAAAACTGCATGCTGTTGTGGCGCGAAGCACATTTTGAAGTCGACATGCACAAAACACACCAGGTGCGGGCCACTTATGGAAGTTGAGATGTCGAAAAAGTGCACGCCGTTGCGGCGCGAAGCACAGTTTGAAGTCAAAATGTACAAGTTGTACACACTATGTTCGGACCACTTTTAGAGTTTAGAGGTTCAGATGTCTCTTCGCTTCGCTTCATTATACTGCACTGCATTACACTACACGACATTACACTACACTACGCTCCACAGATGATGATGATGATGATGATGATGATGATGCTGATGATGATGATGATAATGAGAAGGAGGAGGAGGAGGACCGATACCAAGACCAGACACGCACTTTATGCGAGCCGGCGCTGTCGAAACGCACATGGACATGTCAGAAGACTCTAGATCAAGCACCGGTCTTTGCTACTACCGTTACGACCGTAAGAACCTCCAGTTTGGACACCCTGTTTGGGGAACAAGCTACGATAGCCAAGGAACATGTACAGCAAATTCGGCACCCATTCCACGGAGTTGCCAGGAAGTAGCACTGGCACACCTGGGCCAGCAAGCCACGGAAATTTGGTAAATGCAGGTCACCATCGTCACGCAGTAGCCGCAGTTTTTTGCAAGCTGCCATCAATGCCGATTGGTCCGGCGCAGACATCATTTCCAAGAATGCAAGGTGGGTCTGCTCGTCGATGGTCCCATCAGCCGTGTCGAAGTTGTAGGAGTAGACACGGGTGGGTTTCAAAACTCCACCAAGGAGCACTGTGTCGGAGCATGTCGAAACTGTCATTGAATGCAGCAAAAAAGTGGCATACTTGGCCGCACACGGCACCTTGCGTTGAAGGTCCTCCTCGATCTCCACCCTGTCGCATTGCACAAAGCTGCCGCCAACGAATGCCGGCACAGGCCGCAAGTAGGCTGAATATGGCTGCCAGCTGTCTGACACGTTGCAAGACTCATCGAACCAACCTTTTTTGATGCCGTTTGCCAGGATGCTACTTTCCACAAGCGGCTGGATGGCCTGAAGTGGCCAGCCCTGATACCCTTCCGGAAGACCGTCCTTAAGGTTGCCATTCTGGGATTCCACTGACTGGAACAGAGTTGATGTCTTAGTAAGATGCTGGGAGGTTTTGTTTCTAACAGGTACCGTGAGGAGGTCGCGGGCTAGCTAGTATAACGGGAGCTCGCGGGGCTTCCATATAACTTAAAACAGAGTTCGTGGGGCTCCCACACAACCTTAATATACAAAGTTGTGGACGTCGACAAACATGGTGATTGAACATTTTTGTATGTTTTTTAAATTATATAGTTTTTTTTTCACCGTCAATTTGTATTTATTGTTTATTTTTCATGCCCCCGTGTTTGAATATTAAAGATGTCATCGAGTCATGCTGCATGTTGTAAGCTGCTGCGGGGTTTGCCGGGCAAACGGTACCCTATCTTGACGAGAGGGGTTGTGTTGACCATTGTTTCTTTAAGTATCATTTTTTCGACGATCGGTGACAGTAAAGTTTAAAGAAAAAAAACGTGTTGTTTTTTTAAATGCAGGTTTGTTTTCGCCTGCTGATGTTTCCTATGTCTTGAAAAAATGGGAACCAAATTTGTGATTATTGACTTTTTGTTTTTCGCGCCTGCTATGTTTGATTATTTTTTCGAGGTTTCCTTATTATTCCCCCAAAAAAAGTGGCTCACAAGATAGATCCCAGATTTTTTTGGTTGGAAAATAGGAAAAAATGCAATCAATATATGTGTTTATCACCAGCTGAATTTTGTGATACATGACAATACATAGTTGTTTGTCTTTTTGTTTGGTTTCGCATCTGCAACATTTAAGAATGTTGCTTCCAAAATGCTGCGAGAATGCACACAAAAAAGGAAACTGTTTTTCCTCAGCAACTTCATTTGCACTTCCTGAGTTGTTATGTGTGTATATATATATACATATATCATATATATATATATATATATATTTAGAGCAGCAAAAATGGGGACAGTTTCTTTTTATTATGTTTTCTCGCATCTGCAATGTTTGACATTGCGCGGGGCTCTGTTCCAAAGGATTTGGTTCAACTTTTACATCCAACATGCTGGCTGGGGTGTAGAAAAATGTAAATATTACGTGTTTGATAGTGAAATTTCCTGTGGAACGAGGAATTACTTATAGTGGTCGGGACCCTGCAAGGAAGAAACCGCTTTGCTGATAGATGGAAAAACAGTAGCATATATATGTGTGTGTGTGTGCCCGCGTTGTTTCAAACCAGCAAATTGACGCAACACGGGGAACCGTTTGGGCAATAAAAGCCAACTCCTTTATGCAGTGTCAGAAAGATTCTTCAAGTTGCCAGAGTTCATCTCATCACTGCAGAGAAACAAGTTTGGAGCTTCTCTCTACACTCTACAATGGTTTCTTCAGCAATGTTTTTCACAAGAGGAAAGTAACATAGTCGACATAAGAGGTTTGAATTTGGCCAAACATCCTTCAGATCACAGGTGATCAGCAACGATTGTGGGGCACGGCAGAAATATTTGCCTTTCTCCGCTCTTGCCGGCTTTAGACTGGACGGGCTTTGGTATCACACTCTTTTTTGCTTGTGACACACGCCAGTAGCCTCAACACAGTGAGGACAAGAATGCATCAAATGGCTGAGTCGGAACATGAAGCCAGGCTTTCACCAAGCGTGCAATTACTCATGAGTTCTTCGCCTTTCAGAATTATTGCTGGGCTTTGGCCACCGTTTTCACATTGGTTTCTCGCATTCTGGAGAGATTCCACCTCACTGGGTCAACTAGAAGGATACCGTTGAGAAAACATGCACCGCAAAACGGAGCCCATCACATCTTCCACTTTTTTGGCAAATGATCCCCTGATTGAAAAACGAAGCGCCCCCCAAACCGAGCCCACCACTTCAGCAACCTCATGATTGAAAAATGTAGCTCCACCAAAACGGATATTTGTATAAGACCCTAAGATCTAGGTTTGCTGTTGCATATATCCATTTACGTTTTGAACATGCCAATCGTTATGCACGCTTGTTTGCATGTGTTTCCTTGAAGCTGAGCACTAGCCAACTTTATCTCTGCATGTTTTGGGTTTCAATGCATGCGGAGATATTAGGCCGGCATCATCACATCATCAACACAAAGATAGCCCTACATCAAAATCCACAAACCACAGCACATGTTCGCGCTGATTCAACAAAACTCTCTTGTTAAGAACGCATGGCAAATCATATGACAAGAAGAAGCGCATGTGTAGAGATTCGAGGGTGCAATTAGATGCCTTGGAAACGAACATATTTTTACAGGAAAAGGGAACTGAAACGTGACATGCTGTGAGCAAAGCCTACGTTGTATTTTTTCAGGCTGTGTAGCACCAGGTGCACAACTGGTAACTTTCACAATACAAAATTTGGCCACGGCTCATGGCCTCAAATTACGTTTTCGGGCCGTTTCGGGCAGTGATGTGTCAAAGAACACCTCACGGTCTCACGGAGCATATGACAAAGTCACAGGAACATGATGTTACAAAGTTATTTCCAAGAAAAAAAAGGGTGTGTCCATGCCATGTCACGTCGTCATGTTGTCTGGAAAGGGTTCCGGAAAAATCGTCAGGAAGGGGTTCCTGAAATATTGTCGTCAAGAAAGGGTCATGACATGTTGTCAGGAAGAGGTTCGTGACATGCCGTCAGGAAGGGGTTCCTGACATGTTGTCAGGAAGAGGTTCGTGACATATTGTCAGGAAGGGGTTCCTGACATGTTGTGGTCCAGAAAGGGCTCATGACATGTTGCCAGGAAGGGGTTCATACCATATCGTCAGGAAAGGGTTCTAAACATGTCGTCAGGAAGGGTTTCAAAGCATGTCGTTAGGAAAGGGTTCCTGACATATATGTATATATTAAAAGTTTTATATTCATATATTTGTTTACTTATTTATATCTATATATATATATATATGTATATATATATATGTATATATTGTCAGGAGCACGTTCCGACCATTTCACCAGAAAGGGTTCTTAACAGGAACACGACATTTCGTCAGGAAGGGGTTCCTGACACGTCCCTCGGAAAGGGTTCAAAACATGCCTTCAGGTGGGGGTCCGACATGTTGTCCGGAAGGGGTTCCTGACGTGCTGTGTGGAAGATGTTCTTGACACGCCGTCAGGAAGGGGTCATGACATGCCGTTAGGAAAGGGTTTCTGACATGTTGTCAGGAACGGGTTCCGGACACGTCGTCAGGAAGGGGGTCCTGACATGTTGTCGTCAAGACGGGGCTCATGACATGCTGTCAGGAAGAGGTTCTTGACATGCTGTCAGGAAAGGATTTTTTGATAGGTTGTCGTCAAGAAAGGGCTCATGACATGTTGTCACGAAGAGGGTCTTGACATGCTGTCAGGAAGGGGTTCCTGACATGTTGTCGTCAAGAAAGGGCTCATGACATGTTGTCCCAAAGGGGTTCCGGACACATTGTCAGGAAGGCGTTCTTGACATTTTGTCGCTAAGTCGGGGCTCATAACATGTGCTAGGAAGGTTTTCCAGGCATGTTGTCAGCAAGGAGTTTCTTTTATGTCATCAGGGGCGTGGTAACGACATGTCGTCAGGAAGTGTTTCCTGACATGTCGCCGGGAACATTTTTCTGGCATGTCGTCTAGTAGGGGTTTCTCTAAGTCTAAGTCCATCTGGAGGGGTTTCCTGAGGTGTCGTCAGGACATGTCTGCAAGTGTTGTTGTTTCTTTTTGAGGCTACATCATGACATATCAAGACATGAATCAGGGCAAAACTAATCAGAGACAGGCTGAGACAGGAGCAAAAACATTGCCAAAATGAAGTTTCAAATTCAATATTGGTACGTCTTTCTGTTTTTTTCGGGATGATTATCAGCTTTGTCTGGTTGGGAAGCAGCCGGTTGTTTATTCAATGGCTCATGACGCTGCATTTCGTTCAGAGATCATTTTTTTGTGGGGAAGCAAAAGGCTTTTAGGTCCAGACGCATATGTGCACGTGACACACTGCTAATTATCCAAGTAGGGCCCCGGGAATTCCAAGCAAAGTAATTTCCATCCAAACCAGTAAGACTTGGAACAATGCCGATCATCTCTTGAAGTGGCTGGGAAAAACAAAGCCGCCGATCAATGATGGTTAGTCCGTCCCTTTTTTTTACTTCGCAGACCAGTGTGGTTTGCGCTTTCCTGAGTGTGAGTGGATGGGCTAAGAGCCCACTTGCTTGGTGTTAGATGGTTTACAAACTTGTATCCAATGATCTTGCCATCATTTACCAGAGAGCTGTAGACTAATTCCACTGGCTGACGTGCTGCCGCTGGCTGACTCCACTTTGGCAAACGAATACGCTTAGTGTGAGTGCTTGCGATTGTTACTACTTTTTCCACGCAATGCGAAAAATGATGGTGGCAATGGTAGTGGAGTGGAGGGCGCAGTCAAAAAAAGTGGTGAGCCGTGAATGGTTGACTTGGGGCTGAGGTGCTGAGGAATGTCGCTGCTACACTGCAGCAGCAGCAGCAGCAGCAGCAGAAGCAATGGCAGCAACGGTGGCAACAGTCACAACGACCACAGCAGTGGCAGCCAACAATAGCAGCAACTGCAACAATGGCAGCAACAACAACACACAGCGGCAGAAAACACAGCAGCCGCAGAATCAGTAGCAACAGCAGCAGCAGCAGCAACACTGACAAAAAAACGCATCAATGAGAACAACCGACCTTAGACGTTACACCTTTTGCCTCTGGCACTGGTGGGCCAGTGTGCTGACAGGCTCTGGGATCTGCACTTTGCGCCGTATAGCCTCTTTTCTAGTCGGTGGTATTTGTGGGCCATTGTGGGCGTCCTTGTGATGGTGGCGGTTGTCATCATCACCGCCGCCATATGCCACTGCTGTGGTCGTTGTGGGTTTTGCCACCGTTGTTGCCATTGCTTCTGCTGCTGCCGTGTTGCAGCGACATTCCTCAGCACCTCAGCCCCAAGTCAACCATTCACGACTCACCACTTTTTTTGACTGCGCCCTCCACTCCACTACCATTGCCACCATCATTTTTCTCATTGCGTGGAAAAGGTAGTAACAATCGCAAGCACTCACACTAAGCTTATTCGTTTGCCAACGTGGAGTCAGCCAGCGGCAGTAGGTCAGCCAGTGGGATTAGTCTTCAGCTCTCTGGTAAATGATGGCAACATCATTGGATACAAGTTTGTAAACCATCTAACACCAAGCAAGTGGGCTCTTAGCCCATCCACTCACACTCAGGAAAGCGCAAACCACACTGGTCTGCGAAGTAAAAAAAGGGACGGACTAACCATCATTGATCGGCGGCTTTGTTTTTCCCAGCCACTTCAAGAGATGATCGGCATTGTTCCAAGTCTTACTGGTTTGGATGGAAATTACTTTGCTTGGAATTCCCGGGGCCCTACTTGGATAATTAGCAGTGTGTCACGTGCACATATGCGTCTGGACCTAAAAGCCTTTTGCTTCCCCACAAAAAAATGATCTCTGAACGAAATGCAGCGTCATGAGCCATTGAATAAACAACCGGTTGCTTTCTAATGTGGTTGTTGTTGCTGTTGTTCTTGTTCTTGGTTTTTGTTGTTGCTCTTGTTGTTCTTGTTGTTCTTGTTGTTCTTGTTGCTGCTCTTGCTACTGTTGCTCTTGCTGCTGTTGTTGCTGTTGGTCTTCTTGTTGTTGTTCTTGTTGTTCTTGCTATTCTTGTTGTTGTTCTTGGCTACTGTTGCTCCTGTTGCTGTTGTTGCTGTTGTTGCGGTGGTGGTCGTCGTGGTGGTTATGGTGGTGGCGGTGGGTGGTGGGCGTGGTGGTGGGTGGTGGGCGTGGTGGTGGGTGGTGCCGGTGGTGGTTTATGTGGTGGTTTTTGTGGTGGTAGTCTTGGTGGTGGTAGTTTTTGTGTTTGTGATGGTGGTGGTGGTTGCGGTGGCGGTAGGATTTGTAATTGTGGTTGCGGTGGTGTTCGGTGGGGGTGGGTGGACGTGTTTGTTGGTGGGTGTGTTTGTCATGTGATGGTTGTTTGTTGTCGGTAAGATGGTTTTCTTCATTTGTTGTTCGTTGAGCTGTTGTGTGTTGATTTGTTGTTTCATCCGTTGTTGTCACACTTTGTTGTTTGTGTTATTTGCGTGTTTGCTTTTTAATGGTTTGTGTTTTTTCGTTGTCAGTTGTTAATTGATCTAGTGTGCATTTGCAGTAAATAATGTAAATATATTGTAGTTTTTTCTTTCTGCAGATGAGAATGCATCATAGTGCATTTTCCATCGGTTTTGCGTCACCAGTCACTTTGGGCAATGACATGTAACGAGTGTCACTGTGGGCAATGAAAACATTGATCCTGCTGCCTGTGCGGAGAACTGGCAGCTCACAAGATAATACATTCATGACCGTGTACGGGGCACCATGTAACATCAAACTCTTGGACCATTTGCCCACAGTCTGCTATGTTTACAGAAAGCAACGCAACATCTAACATCTCATTCGTAGCAGCGTGATTAGTTGTTCGTTCCTAATCCTGGGCATATGTAGTGCGTTCACGTGATCACCGTGATTGTCAGTTGTAAGCTCCATGCGCACGGCTTCGAACCTGTCAAAAGTACGACTAATATGCTCATTTGAGCAAGCGCATCGTAAAATTGCAGTGGCTGATTGACCGAAGCAGGGATAGCGGCCGACGGCGGTCCGAATCATACTTTATGTTTCATAGGCTGTGGGCTTTCAATTTTCAATTCTTGTAAGCCCAAACTTAGAAAAACAGTTGTTTTTTACCTAACGAAAGCGGTGTCTTCATGAATTCTCATAACAGACCCTCTTCATGAGGAAGCAGGACCCTGTACTTCATGACTGTGCCGGGTAGGTTGCCTTAAACGCAGATTTGGTATTTCATCATTTTCTGTGAGCATGCGGCGCATTAAATAGATACCGTTTAAAACATAGTTTGGATTCATTTCAATGCAAAAAGGAGAGTTTATATGCGGTCATAGTAATAGCAAAAGTTACAAAAAACATCAAACGCACAAAGCGTCGTCATGACAGTTCATCACGACACCTGTCCGTGAAGACCTAGACCCCCGCGAGTCATGACGGTACCCGGGAAGCCGGCTTTAAGGCAGCAGCTTACAAAGTTGATGTCCCGAATCCTGGGCATGCTGTGGAGCAGAGTCCACTCCACCAAGCCGCTGTCCAGCATTGTTTTTTTTCGTCCCACGTCAGTACCTGCTCCTCCACGTACCGAACCATCCTGAGACGGCCTGCGCGTACGAATTCGACCAGGACTGCATCCCAAAACGTGCTGAACAGGACGATGGTCGGAAGGCTCCACGAATACTGGATGGAGGCTGCAACGTAATCGCAGAACTGCTGGCCACCAGCTCCATCGAATCTCCGAACGTTGGCCAACTGATGCCTGACGTCACGCCAGATCTCGATTGATGGTGGAAAGACCTGTCGCATCAGAAAAACCACAGAACAGCCGTTGAGAGCCTGAATGTTCAATGCAAATACTTGAATTTAACACACCAACATGTTCCGTCACGAGTTTCAACTTGTCGTGATTTATAGTGAATGTCTTTCGACATGCGTTGGCATGCCATAAAGTTTGCATCGTTGGGATTGCAAAATCGGAGCTGAATTTGAAAACAATCGTGCCATCAAAAGTTTGCATAGGTGGGATTGCAAAATCGGAGCTGGGTGTGAAAACAAACGAGCCTTCTGCGCAGCTGCTAGGCCAGCTGGATGCCCATCCAGAATCACAGCTCGGAGGTGCTTCACTATATCGATACCATAGTTGCCATAGACGTCCAAGAAAGTCACGAGTCCTGCCGGGCAGTCTTCAGTACTATATGGCTTGTGTCAGCTACACAACAAACATGTTTCCCTCACCTACCAGGCGATGGTCTCTAGATTCAAACAGGTCTTTCCACCATCAATCGAGATCTGGCGTGACGTCAGGCATCAGTTGGCCAACGTTCGGGAATTCGATGGAGCTGGTGGCCTGCACTTCTGCGATTAGATTGCTGCCTGCACCCAGTTTTCGTTTCCTTTTCCGACCATCGTATTGTTCTCGACGTTTTGGGGTTCGGTGCGTGGAGGAGCAGGTACTGAGTTGGAGCGAGACGAAACAGTGCTAGATAGCGGCTTGGTGGAGCGGGCTCTGCGCCACAGCGTGCCCAGGATTCGGGACATCAACTCTGTTCCAGTCAGTGGAATTCTAGAGTGGCAAATTGAAGGTCTTCCGGAAGGGTAACTAGGTTGGTCACTTCAGGCCATCCAGCTGATTGTGGAAAGTAGCATCCTGGCCAACGGCAGGCAAAAAGGTTGGTGGGATGAGGCCGGCAACGTGTTGGACAGTTGGCAGCCTTATTCAGCCTTACCTGCAGCCTGTGCCGGCATTCATTGTCGTTGTCTTTGTCGTCGCCGTCGTCGTCGGCGTCGTCATCGTCGTCCCCGTCGTTGTCCTCATTGTTTTCCGCGTCGTCAGACATAATGTCGGAAGAGTTGCAAGATAGAATGCCAGAAAATGCGTCAGACAGTGTGCAATGGCATATGCCAGCAAGAATGAGATAGAATATGAGACATGTATACGTCCATTTGTTTTGATGGCAGCTACTCGGAGGAAAAATATTTCAAATTCATAATTCCGACAAACCCGGAGACCTGCCTGATGTCCATGATTCCAAATCTTCCTTGGGTGCCCATATGCACCCTGCAATGATTGCTTCTGTAGAAGGCACACAGGTCGCAGATTCCCGCTGCAAGTGCTTCGAGGGCCAACAGAGCAAGCCGAGTCCCCAGCCTGAGCAACTGATCTTGTAAGTGAAATCTGCCACCAGGCACACTGTGCGAGTACCTCGCTGCCCCTCTTTGAACATGCGCTTCGTCAGCTCCTGGAACCCAGGGTGGCAGTCAAACATAAAACAAACAGAAACTACCCTTCGGACCGCTCACGGTGCTCGTAAAGCACATATTTTGTTGAAAAATAGTGCTTTTACCACAGGGACACGCAACTTTCTGATGGAAAATTTCAGGCGCGTTACGCGTTTTTGGCTTCTTCAGCGTCATCGCTGCAACGCATGCACTGTCTTCAACTGGCAGTCAGCATTCTTGCGAATGCATCTCCATTGCCTCGCTCTGCATACACCATACAAGGAACGTTAACATGCCCCCCCGCCTACCCCACCCCTCCCCCATCGGCAGCGTAGCAACATATGACTTAGCAACAACCCCTGAGATCTCTCTGTACACGGTAACAACATGTGAGCAACGATCCCAGACATCTCTGCAGCATAGCAACATGTATTTTACGAAGTACAAGGAACGTTAACACCTCTGCCGCCCCACCCCATCAGCAGCGTAGCAGCATGTGACGTAGCAACAATCCCAGAGATCTCTACAAGGAACGTCACATAATAACAAGTTCTCCCACCCCACCCCATCAACAGCGTAGCAACATGGTACGTATGGCAACGATCCCTGAGATCACTGCAGCGTAGCAACATGTAATGTACGAAGTACAAGGAACGTTCACATGCCTCCCCCACCACACCCCGCCCCAAAATAACGTTCTTCATCAACGTGCGTTGCACGAACACGGTTTTCGGTCCGCAGGCATAATTAGAACTTGGCCTGGCGAAATGAAGACAGATCAGACCAGTTAGGGTTCAAGATAGAGAACCACATTGCGAATTTGGTGACGACCGGAGAAACTCCACGTTTACAACTGGCAACCTCAATGCTGACTCCGGTTCCCCACCGCAGTCCTTTAGAGCAGGCGACAGAAACAGACAAGATCCAGGAGCTGCCTTGAGATCAACGACTTCTGCAAAGGCTCCAAGTCCGAGCCATTCCGAATCTGTTCGCAGAGGGTGGTATTCAAAGTTGTGGGCCTCAGGGTTCTCTGTTCGAGCTGCCACCCACTCAACCCATCCTTGCAAGGTTTCCTCGGCACTGGCAGCAGCTGGACGCGATGCCTTCTGGCGCTTGCGATGCGCTTGCTCGATTTGCTTCATGGTCGGCATCTCCTGCTCTGGTAACCGCTCGGAGATGAGTTGCGCTTTGGCCTCCCAGTGTTCCGGCGACATGCTTGCAAAACTCTTGTCCACAGACTTCTGTGCAACATTCATGTGAGTGATGACATGGAAAATAACACAGGGCAACAGGACCGCTGAGGAAACCGATGGGGAAAACAAAGCAAAAACCTTGAAACAGGGTTCCGGAGTTCCGGTGTGTCCGTAAGTTTGTCCCAAGATGGTATGGCCAAGATTATGACGTCGCGCCTGCAGAGGATTCAAGTGACTGACTCTGACTGCATGTCCGTGGCGTTTGTTACTATCAGGTGGCAGAGAGTGGTCCCCTTGACTGTAGACAACTAAATCGCCATCTTCCGTGAGGAATCGGAATTTGACTGAACAAGCCGGGTGCTCCTGACAGTGTCCATGAGCCATAAAGCTGCTTTCCCCTTTGAAGACGATTTTGTTCACCCTCACGTTGGACTTTCCCAAGTTGTCAAAGATAGCTTGCCGCAGGGCATCCTTTGTAGAGATGTCCGGCGCCGCGGCTCGCAGAGTCTCTACCCATGCTGTCGGATCTGCACGTCCAGGCATGCCGTTGATGTTCCAAAATGGAGCCCTGTGTCTGGACATTGAAGTTTTGCAAACTTGCTGTCTGAGATCTTGTGTCTTTTGGCTCTTATGTGTTATCATGATTAAAACGTGCGTGGCATGTCACCCTGTGGCTACACAACTGACTGAAATCAACTGAAACAAATCAGAGAAACTTCGCATAGAATGCCACTCCCCGCGGCTTGAGTTGCAGCCAGGGAAGCACGGTGAATCAAGTGGCTGATGGAAACGAAAAAAAACTGACATGTTTTGTCCAGACAATGAGCTGTCCATGATTCCAGAACATGCAAACGGTTCTTCCATCAAGGTGTCTCACGCATGGTTGTGAAAAGCAGTTTGCAAACCAATTTAACCGTGATAGGCAAGGACTTGACACGATAAAGTCCGGGACTTGGCCACAGTCCATCGATCACTTGGAGCTGCAAGGCAATGACTTGACGCCAAGTCAGGCAGCCTGAGAAAAGCCACAACTACGACATAAATCACGCATTTCTGTAGGTGGGATGAAAACAGCCGAGAGGCATGAAAAGAAACAGAGTTAAAAAAGGTCTGATTGCAAGTTGGCTGCCCACGTTCCCATCCCGACCCCCGTGTTAAAACACACAGAACATGGCCAGCTCAGGCACGGCATGAGCTGCATGGAAGCACCATCTGCAGACCTCATGCTGACAAGCACGCAAGTTACAAGCGTGCTGTCTCCAAAAAATTGTTGCCGGATCAAAACTGCCATCTGTCTGGCAAGACCAAATATGTAAATCTAGCGCCGTCTCTGGCAAGCGTCTTTGTGATCGTCACGCCCCGCGCTGCGAGAAGTCTTGATGGATCGAAAGGATTCCTGAGCATCACCAGCAGCACAGGCATTACTGAGCAGCGTCGTCAAATTACCACAGCCCATGCCTGACAAACTATGTCAGATCACAAAATAGGCAACCAAACCAAGTTGAAGTCTCGGAAATCGAAAATCCTGCAGATTCTACGGGAGGCAAGGGCCAAAGTTGCATGATAGCTTCATGTCTAAATCCTAGTGCAGCAACAGGCGCGGTTGGTTCTTCGCTTCCCGCTCAGCAAGCAACTTTGATGGATCAAAAGGATTCCTGGGGATCACCCGCATCCGCATTGCTTAGTCATGGCTGCAAATTGTAGCACCATAGGTTTGTTTGCTGGATTTTGTCGGCTGTAAGGTAAATGGATTACAAATTCCCTTCCCAAATAAATTAAATCACGACATAAATCACGCATTTCTGTAGGTGGGATGAAAACAGCCGAGAGCCATGAAAAGAAACAGAGTTAAAAAAGGTCTGATTGCAAGTTGGCTGCCCACGTTCCCATCCCGACCCCCGTGTTAAAACACACAGAACATGGCCAGCTCAGGCACGGCATGAGCTGCATGGGAGCACCATCTGCAGACCTCATGCTGACAAGCACGCAAGCTACAAGCGTGCTGTCTCCAAAAAAATCGTTGCCGGATCAAAACTGCCATCTGTCTGGCAAGACCAAATATGTAAATCTAGCGCCGTCTCTGGCAAGCGGCTTTGTGATCGTCACGCCCCGCGCTGCGAGAAGTCTTGATGGATCGAAAGGATTCCTGAGCATCACCAGCAGCACAGGCATTACTGAGCAGCGTCGTCAAATTACCACAGCCCATGCCTGACAAACTATGTCAGATCACAAAATAGGCAACCAAACCAAGTTGAAGTCTCGGAAATCGAAAATCCTGCAGATTCTACGGGAGGCAAGGGCCAAAGTTGCATGATAGCTTCATGTCTAAATCCTAGTGCAGCAACAGGCGCGGTTGGTTCTTCGCTTCCCGCTCAGCATGCAACTTTGATGGATCAAAAGGATTCCTGGGGATCACCCGCATCCGCATTGCTTAGTCATGGCTGCAAATTGTAGCACCATAGGTTTGTTTGCCGGATTTTGTCGGCTGTAAGGTAAATGGATTACAAATTCCCAAGTAACTTCAATCACGACACAAATCACGCATTTCTGTAGGTGAGATGAAAACAGCCGAGAGCCATGAAAAGAAACAGAGTTAAAAAAGGTCTGATTGCAAGTTGGCTGCCCACGTTCCCATCCCGACCCCCGTGGTAAAACACACAGAACATGGCCAGCTCAGGCACGGCATGAGCTGCATGGAAGCACCATCTGCAGACCTCATGCTGACAAGCACGCAAGCTACAAGCGTGCTGTCTCAAAAAAAATCGTTGCCGGATCAAAACGGCCATCTGTCTGGCAAGACCAAATATGTAAATCTAGCGCCGTCTCTGGCAAGCGGCTTTGTGATCGTCACGCCCCGCGCTGCGAGAAGTCTTGATGGATCGAAAGGATTCCTGAGCATCACCAGCAGCACAGGCATTACTGAGCAGCGTCGTCAAATTACCACAGCCCATGCCTGACAAACTATGTCAGATCACAAAATAGGCAACCAAACCAAGTTGAAGTCTCGGAAATCGAAAATCCTGCAGATTCTACGGGAGGCAAGGGCCAAAGTTGCATGATAGCTTCATGTCTAAATCCTAGTGCAGCAACAGGCGCGGTTGGTTCTTCGCTTCCCGCCCAGCAAGCAACTTTGATGGATCAAAAGGATTCCTGGGGATCACCCGCATCCGCATTGCTTAGTCATGGCTGCAAATTGTAGCACCATAGGTTTGTTTGCCGGATTTTGTTGGCTGTAAGGTAAATGGATTACAAATTCCCAAATAACTTCCATCATCCAAAAATCCTTGCGGTCACAGACTCATTGCGTGGGATCTGCATGTCTGAATATTAATGCAGGACTAGATACGGTTCGTTCGTCGGGCCCTTCTCGGCAGGCAGCTTTGACAGATCCAAAGGATTCAACCTGGGAATCACCAGCATTGCTTGGCAGCGGTTTCAACTTAGAGCATCACTGCAAAGGAAATGGAATACAAATTGCCAACGAACTTGCAGCATCCAAAATCCTTGCAGTCATGCACCCACTCTTTACCAGAAACAAAGGACAAAGTTGCGTGAGAACTACGTGTCTGAATGCTATCGTGCTGGACCAGGCGCAATGCGTTCTTTGCGGCCCTCTCAGCAAGCAGCTTTGATGGATCAAACGGATTCCTTAGGATCAAAAGCATTACTTGGCTGTGGCTTCAAGTCAGAACGCAGCATGTTGGCTGTAACCTAACTAATTCTTTCTAGGGACTTGGCTGCTGCTTATTTGATCCCTTACGCACATGGAAGGAACAACCACAATCAATGCAGTGTTCAAAGGAAGCAACATATTTGATTCCTGATCAAGATTCAAGTCCATATCCTATTCAATACATCACGCAAGGGGGTATAATATCCGATCCCTTATGAAGATTCCATTGCATTTTTCATTCAATACCTTGTTAACCGGGACGGTGTCGTAGTTCGTTCCGCTTGAAATTTCAAGCTGACATCCCATTCAATTAATTGTAAGGGAGTGCTGTATGTGATCCCTGGTGACGATCGCAAGTAATAACCCAATCTAAGGTTTTATTCACATGAATCCCAATTTATTAAATGAATATCCGATTTCATAGCCTATTTAATACCTGTTTCAAAAAGAGGTTGCCTAATTGATGCCCCAAGAAGGTTGCAGTTGATATCCCCAAAAATTTGCTGTCCAAAAGTTGAGGCGAATTTGATCCCTGATAAGGTTGCAGTTTATGTCCCAAACAATATATTGTTCAGAGGAGGTGACGTGCGTGTTCCCTGATGACGGTTGAAGTGCCTTTTTGATCCCTTAAAAAAAAAAGTTCGTATGACAGCACTGCCACCGTAGCAAATCTTTATCAAAATTGGCAGTTTGGAGCTAAACTAACGCAGCAAGCAATTCTTATAGACTGCCAGCTGGCAGCACGCAAACGCATGTCTACCATCAAACAGCACAGCCTGTGCGACAGCGGGCAGCAACTGTAAGTGAGAAGGAGGAAGGATCAGAAGCAATCTATTCTTTGACTGCTAACTGGCAGCAGCCCAGCACATCCCGACCAACACAAGAAAGTAGGTAGCAGCTGTAAGTGCTGCAAGCACAGACTTGCCAACACAATCGCAGAGCTTGAGCATAGAAAAGGTAGTCTTTAAACTATATATATATACACATATCTATGTAAATATGCATATATATATATATATCTGTATGTATATATTGTTTATCTTTATCTATGTGTGGTTCGAAACACATGGCTCAAGGTATGGACCGGTTCCTTCAAACTGGCGTACAACAGGGGTATGGAACGGGTGTGGTCCTGGACCCCCTTCCAGACATTGTAAATTGCACCCATGTGATCCCTGATGCCGATTGCCGAGACACGTTCTCGGAAAGCTTGCGGAGCACCCCGCATCCGACATGGTCACGCTGTCAGAGCCGAACCGTTTTGAATTCATTCGTTTCGGAAATATATTAGTGTGTGTTCAACAAACATCCTACTGTACACTGTGCTCTGCCACGTCATCGGCAGCTGGTCATTCATGTTTCCAGGTGGTGGCTGAATCTGCTATAGCTGCTATACAGTGCTAGTGGAAAATTCGGGGATTTGTGCGCGTAAAAGTTACTGAGATTTTACTGTTCAAATGAAACCTGCAGACTCCAGAAAAACTCATTGCCATCAAGAATATATACAGAATATGTGTATACTTTATACTGTATATATATATATATATAATTGCAAGGGAATACACAATCTAGAAAATAAATGAGAAATTACCAGTAGTACTGCGCAAGGCGGTGGCGGAAGTTTCAAAAATAGGAAATCTACAGGCAGGGTGTGCCGGGCATGCCGTAGAATGGGAACCGGACCGAGTGAGAAGAACTCTATGCAAGGGAAGGATGTGCATTGAGGACTACCATTGCATGCAGAGCGGGGGGGGGGGAAGTTTAGAAAATGACTTGCAATCGTGACAAGAACTCTGTGAAAGGGAAGGATGTGCATTGAGGACTACCATTGCATGCCGAGCTTTGGGGGGGGGGAAGTTTAGAAAATGAC